GAATGATTAGCAATGGTATTATTGGTAAATGCTGTAGAGGTGGTATCTACCCTTGAAGCAATAATCAAAACAGCAGCTATATATTTTTTATTAAATATATATTAAATAAATTCATCTGACAGCTAAAAGATGCAAGAAAATAAAACAAACACACATTTAGGACTTTTCATTCATGATCATGTTCGATGGTTTATGACAAGAGAAGTTTTAAAGCGCAGTATACAGTGTTGTTAGGAATTCTTGCTTTTAAAAAAAGACATATCTAGACCTCGGCAGGCCCATGGGCGGGTAATGGGTAGTCCGAAGCAGATACTCATAATGGTCACCCACTAGGTACCTATTTGACCCAAACCATAATTAGATTAGAAACACCCGTGAGTTGCATAACTTATATAATTTTCCTAGTAATATTCAACCAACCTATCAAGCTATTAAGAGGCTGTCGGAAATGTATCGTATGTGGAGAGGATATAAAAATCCCTATGAAACTCCCATGGCATCAATGGGAATTCCCATGGGTGGATCCAATATTTCCATAGGCATTTATAAAGCAGTGAGTTAGCTTCCTATTATCTATCTATTGATCTATCTATCTAATAAATAACATGAATTAAACTAGCAGATATTGGCTACTCATTCTTCCTTGGTAACCATGGTGGCCCCTCACTTCATTTATGAATTCATTAAATTTGTCTGAAGACCATGGAATCTTTAATGCCATGTGTCAAAAATCACGTTTATAAGAGGTATATCTTCTCTTCCCAGGAAGATACAATGAGCCAAAGATTGTGTCAAAGGTGTGAAGACATCCTTCCCCATCCACGTGAACACTTGGAATGGGACAAATTGTATGAAACGGCACTACGCTTCAGAGGGATTTCTGAAAGTCTGCCAATCATGTAACTTAAGCAGTAAAATATATAGCAATCATTCCATTCTACAATATGATTACTATCTTCCATATCTCTCTGAATAGACTACTAAGGTTTTCTCAAGCTCATTCATCGTCAGCTTTCCCACAACAAAGGTGGGATCGGCAACAAGTCAAATTCATTGCAAAGTCGCATCTTCCTTTCCAATTTCTCGCGCATTAAGAGTTTCCAAAGTCAGATTGAAATGGCTCAGTTAGCACCATCACAGCCAGTGTTATTGAACCCTAAGATCGCTTGGCGCCAGTCCCAGGCAATCGTGAAGAACAAAGTATACTAGTAATCAACACCCCCACCGACTGCGAAGCTTTCAATTGCACTTGGCTGCTGGACATCATCACCCTTTCAGAAAGCATATATGGCCATTACTGACTCACAAAATGACACCACAGAGAAACAGTGATCTGACACACCCACTGATAAACATAGCTAATGCCCGGATCTTTAGTCTGTTAAACAGTGGAGGTTCAGGGAAGAATAATGTATTACTTACCTCTGGAACGGTTAAAAATAGTTAGTCGCTGATATTGATTCGCATGAAGTAACTGTGCTAGTTGTCCCGAACGCAGGAATGCTTTTCTGGGTTTACGAACTGAGGGACCTTGGCTTGTTCTAATCCAAGGTGTCGAAACCCGTTGGAGCTCAACACTTTGATGCTCCGCGTGCAAAGCATCTCGGTTCATTATTCAACCAATATTGTGAGAAACACCGGGCATCCCCTTTTAAGCTTGATAAAGAAAAGTGGCGACATATCATAATTCACGTTTTCTGTCTACAGCAAGCTTTTTAACCGCCTTGACGCATCAATCCGTATGCTTCAACGTAAGAAAGTACGATACCTTGGAAACAAGCAATGCTTCATTGTCTGAAAGCAGGCAAGGTAAAAAATAAAGTTCTATTACATCGAGACTGATAAGGTTCCCAATAATTTATATGCAATTGGTACAATTCCTTGCACCTCATACTCAAGTTCTTAAAGCAAAGAATGGGTTGGTGATGCCAGAATCCCACATAAATATACAGGGAACGCATTTGACTACCAAGTGTTGCCTTTACAGCAGGATGGTGGCGATCTTGAAGATTTTTTTAATCATGATACGCTTCTGGACACGGGTAAGACTAATTCTCCATGAGTTGCAAGAATATTTTGGGACTTGTATGTTCCTTATCTATATTTTTCTCTCTAAAAATTGGCATTCCATATTGCACCACTTATTCCTCGAAAGAGAACCAGCAACTTCCAACACTCGCAGGTATGGCACGGGATAGTTTTTTTTTTTTTTTTTTTTTTTATCCAGCAACAGGTGCAGGTATTGAGCGTCTCTTCAATTCTGCTCGAGATATCTGTCACTACCGCCGGGGATCTCTTAAATTCCACAACAATTTAGGACATTATGATGTTCCGATGTGTCTTAAATTTTGAGATTGAAGACAAGGAGCTTCAATGATACGGCCCAGGAAGGAGAGAAGAAACAAATGAGAGGGCTCAGCTTTCTAAGCATACTCCCGATCCAATCAGTGTTACATCAAACTTGTATCACTAGTGCCATTCTACTATTTGTGTCCTTTCATCAGGTAACTCTAATTATATGGCACTAGTCAGAATGCTGGAATGAGAGGCCTGCATCATATCAGTTGACCATACTTGTGGCTACAGATAAACTGAATTAACGTAACCCAGAAAGCGGGTCGCGCACTCCTCGTGTTTTCTATGTATGACCCCTACACCACCAGGTAGCCATTATACCGATTCAGCACTCAAAACATCTCATAATCTCAGGCAACTGGGAAAGCAGGCATCTAAAATTAAGAGGCTTTTTAAGGCAGCGCACAGAGTCCTCCAAGCCCAATGAATGATGCAATAAACTGAGTTATCAAGAATGTGAAGTCCATATGTGAACAGTGCAATCCTTCTTCCAGTCCAGGATTCACGGGCTGCACATGAGAAGACGCTGCTGCAAAAGCGAAATCAGTCCAAGCGACAGATGGCTCGTACAAGGTGGCCTGTCTATTCCAGAAGACATAGAGCTTATGCAGCAGAGAAATGAGATCCAGAGAATCGAAGATACTGTACAGATGGAGACTGCACCATCGACATTTCAACCACATATACGGACTCCACCACGGTGTTTTGATTGCAATGCTCTGGGACATAAAAAGGATTCATTGTTTTTAGTCGCAGTGATAATTAGTTCTTCTATATAGATATTATTTTGGATATTTGAATTAGACCTTTCGCTGTCCTTAGTCGGAAAGTGCGCGACCCGCTTGTGGTTTTACGTTGTAATATAAAATTGATTCCTAAGATATAATCCAGCTTTTACTGAATCAAGCCCAAATTAAATATGAAATAATTAAAATCATTACTAAATTTATGTGAGCTGCTGCCCTACACTGAGCGGGAAAAAAAAAAAAAAATGAAGATAGGCCTAGAAGGAGTTCTTCAAAGTAGCAGATTAAAAACTTATTAAATAGGATTCCAAGGAACTTTATCAAAAAGTCTTGAACACATCTAGCATCTCATTTAACTGAAAAGCTAAGGAGCAAGGGAGCCTGAATAAATAGTTTAAAAGGCTGAAGATAAACGAGAAAATGAAAGAATAGCAGAACTAAAGATTAGATCTAGCAGTTAGAGAAGTGCTTGTGAAATATTTATTAATTAGCCTATTAAAGATAAGAATGCCTAGCTAAATCAACGACCTGATTGATAATTGAAGAGAGAGAAGTGTTTAAAAAAAAAAGTAGACCTCGCGGGGCGGTGATAAAGAAAACCAATTAAAAGATTAATAAATCTCAAAAAAAAATTCAAGTCAATCCATGCAGCATTATCAAAATGAGTATAAATCTAAAGTCAAGGACTGGTTCACAGAGGTGTAGTCTAAATTTAAAGTGAACACCGATATTCTGAGCACTGAATACTTAAATGTGTATTTAATTTCTTATATCACGAATATAGTCGAATAGCAATAAAGTGCCCAATGCATTTTAGGACTTCGTCAATCCCTGTATCAATGTGAATTGGATTTTTTCAGCCATTGATCACTACCTTGAGAAACCCGCAACGGTAAATAGCGTCAACCACCGAGCCGACCATTTTCGTGTCAATTTCTATAATTTTTCAACGTATCTTTTTAACACTAGCACATGAAATGCATGTTTCTCAAACTCTAAAATCACTATTAAGTCGAGATGAGGAATCTGCTCGAAGAGGGTATTCTTCACGGTCCTCTTTGAGACTTAATGAAGATTATCTACCTGATTTTATATGGGAATCTGGTATGGAGTTCATGCAAGAGAATGGCCCTATACATTCAGCCAATATTATTAGTAATCGGTTTAATTAGCACGGTATTCCTCTTGTTGACTGGCCATCGTATTCACCCGATTTGAACCCTATTGAACATGCGTCGGCCAAGTTGGACGAGCGTATATATATGCTCTATCCCAGACCTTGAATCATTTAGTGAGACCGAAGAACAATTGAAAGAGCGATTTTAGAAGGCCATGGAGAATACATGGGAAAGTTTAGGACAGGACTTTTTTTGATGGGTTGGTAATGTCTATGGAGAACCGTGTTAATGCAGTTTTAGAGGCAAAGGGGTGGGTGGTATATACACATTAATATGATTTTTATTTTATTTTATCATTTATATGCTACTTATCTATAGCATATTCGATTATCTAGTAAAAGAATTGATGCTTGGTTGATTCATGTGGAAAAGAAATGTTTTGGTGATTATATTTTTTTTCGTGGTTACAGAAAAATTACGTAGACTTTTGTCCAAGAACTATATCTTCATTTTGATCCAATAGCATATGTTACTACCAATACAAAGAGAAATACCCTTTAAAATGCATTAGCAGTTCTCCATGGAACTTTACCAACCCATCAAAAAATCCGTGCCCCAAACTCTTTCATGCCTCCATGACCCTGTAAAATTACTCTTTGGTGCCGTCAAATTATTCAAGATTTGGATAGAATATATACGTACGCTCTTTCAACTCTGCTCAGACATGTTCAAGTAGTGTTCAAATCAGGTGAGTAGGGTCGCCAGTCAATAAAAGGAATACCATGCTAATTACTAATAATATTGGCTGTATGTATAGGGCCATTCTCTTGCATGAACACCATACCAGATTCCCATATAAAATCAGGTAGATAATCTTCATTAAGTCTCAAAGAGGACCGTGAAGAATACCCTCTTCGAGCAGATTCCTCGTCCCGATTCATTCGATAGATTTCAGTGTGGCCACCACCCCAGATTGCTGCCCAAATCATGATAGATATTCCTTTGCCTTTGGTGTATGAGACTATGTGCTTCTTTTTCTATTTGTTATTGAAGTGGTTGAGCCGCCATACCCATTGATTCTGCTTCCCTTTGCCAAGCTCAACTGAACATTCATCACTCCATATATAATCTTGCTCCAATGCTCATACGTCCAATACTTGCGCATGTATGCCCATTCGTAGCGTAGTTCAGCTGTTTCCTCTGTTAATTGAGGTCTTTTTTGTGCTCTCTCCAGTGCCCATACCCAGATTCTTCTAACATGCGTGCAATGGTGCGTGTAGAGATGGGCTTTCCAAGTAAGTTGCAGATATCTTCAGTTTTGATGAAGGGACCCCGCTTGATTTGTAAAAGAATATATCGCTTATCAGCATCAGAAAGGATCTCTGGCCGTCCAATGCGAGGAGAGCGAGTGCCAGTGGTGGAGGACTGATATGTTTGAATGGTGGTTTGAATTGTTGTATATGATAAATTCATTTCGCGCTGAATATCAGCCTTTTTCTGGCCTGCAAGGAATCAGCCAATTATAACTCCCCGTTGGAAAGGTTCTAATTCCTTTCTATTAGTCCTATTAGAACTAGTAGATCGTGAAGGGGTGCAAAGCATGGTGTAGGTGGTTAAAAAGATGACGGACAATATCAGGCGGCGCGTCGCGCGTCGCGGAATTACGTAGACTTTTGTCAGGTGACTGTAAATAACTAAATGACATTACTCTCCTAGTCTTTCATCTAGGTATTATTTCTTTTGTTCATTGGTGGTTGGGATATCGAGGTTATAAGAAGGACGGCTCGCTTAGGAATTACGCTATAACGTATTCAATGGGTGAATTGTCCACGCGGCCGAGCGGACCATTCTGCTTTGCACAGAAAATAGCACTTTTTTTCTAACCTCACTATCTCACAACAAACCACGGGGGTCTGAAATCATAATGATATAAATAATATGATATTGTATAGTTAGATATTAAAATCATAAGCTTCTAGCTATACCAGTTCTTCTTATTACAGCAGGGGGGCTTTAATTACATGATCACGACCATGATAGCTAATTAATGTATAGAGTAGAAAGAATCTTGAACAAAAAAGCCAGACTACTTTAGAATCCATACTTCACAACTGCAATTTATATAGCTTTAGACTTATACACTGGTGAGACAGGCCAGAAAAAGTGCCGTTTTCTATGCAGTGTAGAGTGGTCCGCTTGGCCGTGCGAACAACTCGCCTGTTGAATACGTTGACTATATATTATCATCATACTCAGCAATTTCTAAACGAGTCAAGGCCTATAACGTTCATATATGTGATACTTAACTCTAGTTATTTAGTATAAGCACTACCCATATAGTTTCTTTTATATTTCCTTCATACTCATTACTAAGTAAATAATGTGACAATTAATTTAGATGAAAAGCTTAAGTGATTGACTAAGAAGATAAGACTAAAAAAGAAGTTCATAGCAATGGCACCAATAATAAAAGCGTGGGTAGATCAGCATTCTGTATGCAGAGAAAGAGCTCCATACTAGTTAAATATATATTTTAAACACTGATGGCACATTATATTAACAATAAAATAGTCTTGGTTTTGATTTTTAGTAATTTGACCAGTCAGGTTCAATGGCTTATTTTTTCCTCCCAAATATATTATTTTAAGAATTGAATATTATTTTTAAAACGTAATTATTATCCTTTAGTCAAATTATTATTATGTTAGGTTTTTTAGATCAAGTAATCTAGATTTATAAACTTATTGTAAGTTGCCTCCTAGAGAGTGTACATTTCAGACATGTAAATCTAGAGTTTCACAGTCTATCTTAATAAAAAATAATTAATTTTATAGGATCATAAGTATTAAGATAGAATAGCATGGTGAGATTTAAGCATATGTAGTAGAATTAATAGGTAGGGAGGAGTGCAATGTTTATTTAAAGGTGATATAATCCACATATAAAGATTGGTTAGTGATTATTGGCCGCTAAGAATGAAGCACGTGTAAGGATATAGGGGTAGGAGTCAGGCGACTCCTGCTAGAAAGCATGTCTGGGTCAGGGGCTCTAATCTCGATTAGGTTCTAATAAATAATACCCACATTGCTCCCCTGTATCCCCAAGAAACCCTATACATAGTAGCAGTATCTAGCAATTCTTTATGATTATTTAACTCTGTTGAACAACCCCAGAAAGCCTCGAATAACTATTTGAAATATCAATACATATTACATGTCCCTCACGGAGGCGCGGCTTGCTGTAGATTATAGATTAGAAATATTGTGTATGTAAATAAGCAGTAAAGCCAAAGGCTGATATTCTATCAGCGTAGCTGGAGAAAGTGACATGTATGCTTGGGTACAACCTTTTCACAGCAACGCCATGTATCCCCAACCGCCGCTATCTCACATACATAGTGGTGCAAATTTGACTATATATCAGTGTCAGAAAAATCCATCGAACAATGAGTAGGTGCTGTTCATGCGCGGATTTATCATTCAGCACAGATCCCCCATGATATCTTCTTCAATATCAAAGCCACCAGAAAAACTGCCCACATCCTTGCTGTCCTTCAGGGGACTGCCGGTTTGCTTCTGATTCTTCTGAAGAGTTTCAATGTATTCTTTGCTCATTCCCAAAATATAGTCCCCTTCTTCAACATGCGTCATGAGACTTGCTAATGACCAACCACCTCCAACTAACTGCGACTGCGTAAGTGAATCCTTCGATACAGAAGCGCTTGATCCTAGGCTAGAGAACCGAAGCATTGTAGATTTCGTGAGATCATTTGGATGTGACAAAGTCGCGTTCAAAGCCTTGGACATGATGAGTGTCGCAATGAATTGTTCGATGTTTGTCAAACGCACAGAGCAGCTGGGTGCCCTCTCCATTGCATCTGATACCGTGAGAGCTGCGAATGTTCCTCCTAACCTGTGGTATCTGAATTTCTCGAATGCATTCACTACTTGAAGAACAAGGCCAGTATTACCGTCCTGTGAACACCCGTCAGTAAAATAATGCCATACAGACAAATCACAAACTTACCATATGCCAAAAGGGCCGTGCAATATCCACCTCAGCCTCCAGTCTTGAGAAATCACCGCTTTCGAAGGCCCCGGCTAGTGTGATGTAAGGCTTCGTTATAGATCGATAGATCTTGATTGTGTGAGAAGATATGGCAGCAGGAGTCTGGGTTAGCTGTAGTTGGTTACCTGAGATTAGCCTCGAATATATAATCGACAAGCGACTGTAAACTCACCCTCCCGTTCTCCAACAAGCTTGCTAAAATCCACTTTTTGTACGCCTCCACCATGACCATGCTGACCGAGCTGATGACAGGTGATGAAATGACTATACTGAGAAAATGGAGTGCCTTCTTCCATTGCTTAAGGGCCATATAAATCATGGCACCATTAAGGAAATATTCCAAGTGCTCCCTGTATGTGATCTTCGCGGAAAGCCCAGAAGATTTTCTTAGGATCTGTGCGCTAGATTCATGGCATGCTCGCAGGGTAGGCTGCTGATTCTCTAGCTGAGAATGCTCTGGCCCTGCGGGAAAATGGCATATTGGTTTGTCGAGGATAGGCAAAGCATGTTTATACGCTCGCGCATGTAAACAGAGCTTGACAAGTAAGAGATGAGTTGAAGTGAAAACTGAACATGACGAGTCCAGACGAAATATAGCTTCTCGAATCGGTTGAATTGCCAGAAAAGGCTTCAATGTCAGTCAGCAGTGATACACATTGGCTGAATAGGGTCGATCTTGCCTTCGAGGCTGCCAACGCACTTTGTCCCACCAGTTCAACAAGTTCTCGCCACTCACTACCAGCGTATCTCACTTGAACGGGATCGAACCCTGTTAAGAAATGTACGGCCTTTGACCATAAATTCCCTCCAGGGCGTACGTCTTCTGGAAAAGGATTACCAGTTTCACTTCGAATGGAACAGACGTGGTAGCCCCATATGAGCAGGTATGGAAGTGAGTGAAGTGATGGGTTGAGATTCTGATAATGCAACCATCAGCCCTCTGCCAAATCCACTCTTGATGGGTCTGATGCTGATAGAATTTACTTACATCCAGAAAGTCAGGACTATCAGATCTGATATCTGAAACGGTAGGGATTATCTGTCTCAGCTGTGTAAGAAGATCATGTGTTTGAATGTCATAATCTTGATCAGCTATTTCATCTGAATGATGAAGCTGTGATGATATTGAACAGATCTGTGATAGAGCTTCTGTCATTTTAAGGTTTATGTAAAAGGACAACAAGGAGTTAGAAAATCGAAATGAGGTGGTGCATGAAGTAGAACAGATATGATGTACAGTGTTAGATGATATGCCAGAAACGAGGAAACATGCAGGTAATGATAGTTGACAGTTTCAAAGCATTACTGTAATTTTCCATAAGCTTATCTGATTGCCCATTTCATTATCCCAAAGAAAACAAATCTAGAAAAGCAAAGACTTTGATTAGGGTAGCCCTGCGGTCTGTATCATACGCCCGAAAATACGCCGCCGGAGTACTAGTCCCCACATTTGAGATACCTGCTCACAGTGTCTAATTTGCACACAGCGGTAGCTATCTCATTAGAGTACTTTGTACAGTACCAGGAACAAATCTTTTCTCCTTTTCAAAAATATTCTGCCCTGTTTTGCTTCAAGTTTTTGTGTGTTCGAGTTCTCGGAAAGATGTCCCTCACTGACTCGTCCGCTGCTGATATCGCAAAGACTGCATCCTTCGCATCTCGTCACCTTGCCACCTTATCCAATGCTGCGCGCAACGATGCATTGACTGCACTTCACAGAGCTCTTTTAGACAGCAGAGATTCAATTCTGGCAGCAAATGCAAGGGATGTTGAAACAGCGAGCCGTGCTGCCGAAAATGGCAATTTGAACCAAAGCGTCCTCAAAAGACTTGACTTGTCGAGACCGGGGAAGTATGCCGACATGTTGCAGGGGATCTTGAATGTACGAGATTTGGATGATCCAGGTATGCAGACGCCCTCACTTTTGTAGCAAAATACTGACGGGTGATTCTAGTGGGAAAAGTGACTTTGAAGACTCTTTTAGACGATGGTCTCGTACTAGAGAGGGTCAGTTGCCCTATAGGGGTGTTGTTGATAATCTTTGAAGCGCGGCCTGAGGTCATAGCAAACATAGCCGCCCTGTCTATTAAATCAGGAAATGCCGCGATCTTAAAAGGTAAGAGCCCCATGATAGTCGCTTCCCCTTCCTCTTACTGATGTGTATATTAGGAGGGAAAGAGTCGACTGAAACTTTTGTGGCTATATCGGAAGTCATTTCTGCGGCGATCTCAAATACCCAAGTCCCACGATCTTCAATTCAACTTGTGAAGACGCGAGATGTGATCTCTTCTCTACTCGCACAGGATTCGCTGATTGACCTGGTCATTCCTCGAGGCTCCAATGACCTTGTTCGATATGTCAAGGATAACACAAAGATTCCAGTCCTCGGTCATGCTGATGGGCTTTGCTCTGCCTATCTTCATTTTGATGCAAACCCAGACGTCGCAGTCAAAGTCATTGTGGATTCGAAGACTGATTATCCGGCCGCTTGCAACGCGTTGGAAACTTTGCTAGTGCATGAGGACGCCTTGAAAACAGCGTTGCCCCATGTGGCGAAAGCTCTTTTATCTAGAGGAGTGTCGCTTCGTTGTGACATGCCGTCTAGAGCCGCCCTTGTGGAATCGTTGCCTGCTTCACAGACGGATTTGCTGCTGAATGCGACTGATTCTGATTATGATACGGAATTCCTGGATCTCACTTTGGCAGTCAAAACTATCCCTTCAACGCATTCCCCCGACTCAGCTGTTGAGGTGGCCATTGAGCATATCAACATACATTCATCCAAACACACCGACATTGTCATAACTGGATCGAAAGAAATTGCGGAGCGTTTCATGAAAGGTGTTGACAGTGCCGGTGTTTTCTGGAATGCTTCCACGAGATTTGCAGATGGCATGAGATACGGATTTGGTACTGAAGTAGGAATAAGTACGAACAAGATTCATACTAGAGGGCCTGTTGGACTCGACGGATTGACCATCTATAAATATTTGATCCGCGGAGACGGCCATGGAGCTAGTGACTATTCTGAGGGAGAGGGTGGTAAGAAGTGGAAACATGAGAAATTAAGTCTATAGCAGCAGACATCAATTTTGTAAACTTAGCACCAATTGAAATATCTTTTGTTTCTTAGCATTTTAAACTGGATAATATCGTTTCCGACGCCTTGACAAAAACAGAAATGCAGCCACACTGGCTAGAGCGCTGAGTGCTAGTGATCTCTAACGCATTAAAGAAAAAGTAATTGCCCAAGTGTGACATGACATTCAACTAGCCCCGAAAGACTTTTGTTTACTACCCTATCACCGCATTCAGACCTTGAAGCCCTTGGACCTTCTCCGACCACGAGCCCTCTCGAACTTCCGACCCTTGCTTCGCACATACGGTTTCTTCGTCTAATTAGTATCTTTCTCCCGGTTAAATTGCAACTGAAAGGAGTGCTAACCTTGTTGGTGTGGGGTCCAAAGCCAAAGTGCTTCACGGCCTCTCTAGAGTTCTTGGGTCCACGCAGAAGGAGAGTGTTGGCTCCGGTGGGCGCCCGAAGAGCCAGCTGATCCAAGGTCAATGTCTCACCACCGGCCTTCTCGATCCTAGCCCTAGCAGTAGCAGTGAAGCGAAGAGCAGCGATGGACAGTTTGGGCACTGTCAGGAGGCGGTTGTCATCGGTGACAGATCCGATAATGACGACAGTCTTTCCCTTGTGAGACTCAGTGATGTTCGAGACGATACGCGAGAGAGAAACAGGAGGGCGGTTGATCCTCGACATAAACAGACGACGGAGCACGACTTTGTTGAAGTTGGAGTCCGTGCGACCTAAAGCCGTAGTGAGTTAGCTTTTAACCCTTATGACCGGTTCGAACAGGCCGAGTTCTTCTAGGGGCAATTCATACGGGCGAGGAACCGGTAGAGTTTCACGAGAACCTGCAAGTAGACATTCTCGCTCTTTGGCGCCTTGCGGTGGGTGCTGCGCACATGGTGACGGTCCAAGTCGATACCTATAATAGGAGGCTACCGTCAGTTTTCTTCGCACATGCAAAATGCGCCATAGTTCCTTTGAAAACCGCAAAGCAAGATTAATGGTAAAAGGGTCTCGTAAGTCGCAGTATAAAACATACCCATGGCTGCTGGTATTGATAGGACACCTTCGAGTTGGCTGGCAGTCGCGTAAAATGAAGCTGGTGAGGTTTTTGATCTACAATTTTCAGATGGATGGTGTGTGCGGGTTGAGCCCTACGCTAGTACTGATTTGGAAAAGTTTTCTTACTCCGTTAGTGTGGTGGATAGTGTTTGAGCTTATCAATTTCTGCCTCAGGAATTAACATGTCCCTAGTACTGCCTTATCTTTGCAGCGGGGATCTTCACGGGGTTTCATTTACTAGCTTTGTTGAGTTTCTCCTCTCCCATATTGTAATTTCTGCCAAATAAAATATGCTTCTTCACACCGATAAATAGAAGTAGAAGTGGAAGAAAAGCAGCTACATGTTACTGTAGGAATTAAGACGGGTTAAAATTGACACCTTCGGACTGGAAATGTCAATTCTTACATTGCATATCATGTTCAAGGCTGTGGAGTAGAAGAGTATGGAGTATGTACCTGGAAGTTCTAGTGCATAGCTGCTGTGGTCCAATTACTTTCTGACATTACACCAAATGAAAGACAAACGCGCTAAAATTCTATTCATAATAAAAATTTCTTATCACTTTCATTCTATGTGTTTTTCTGTTGTGTCGCGTCTCTCCATGTTTGTATGCCATGTGGGGGCTAGACTTACCCATCTAGTGTTAAAATAGAAATTAAGTCAATCGAAGCGTATATAAATTAAAATCATATAGGACACAATTGTTTAAAAGTAACCCTGACTTGCCCTCAAATTTCAACTCAGCAGTTAAGGGTGACGCTGTCAATGATGATTGCGAAGGGAAAGAACGAAAGTCTCACTTCCATTGGGGATCTATGTATCATTTAGGCTCGCAAGAAAATCCCGCGTAACCTCGAAGCTAAGCCAACTGCTTGCCATACTCGGCGCCACCTTGAGCAAATTAGGCCCGATACCTTTGAATAGACCATGCATCCCTTCCTCAGCAACGATGACTCTGACAGCATCCCAAATCGACTTATACTGGTAGCCCATACCAGTCATCGTGTTGATCTGAAAACGTCTCCGTAGGACATCGCTGTTAAGATATTAGTGGAAAAGTCAGACATGATCGTAGCATCTCGACTTACAATGGATATGTGCACGTCTGCGCCACTGCCCCTGAGATGGCACCTGCCAGCAGCTTACGGATAGAACTAGGATTGATGTCTCCTTCAGGCGTCAAGTATTTGCGGACAGACTCATATGTCATGAAATTAAGCCCGACCTTTAAGCTGGTTAGTCATAATATCGTCAAAGCAAGAGAGGAAGGGGGCGAGATGCAAAAAGTAAGAAAGAAAAGAAAAGAAAGGGGGGGGTATAACTGTTCACACTCACATATGGAGCCACCCCAGCAACGGTTGGAACAATGCCACGATACAGGGCAAGCATACCGCCCTCGTTCTTGTACATCAAAGTCATAGTGCCAACCATGCCAGGTAACCTTTCATCTGCACCCCGCTTCCCAAGAGCAGCAAACGAGGCTGACTGAATGGACAGTCGAGTCCTAACAATATCAAGAGGATATGTGATGATGACAGAAGTTATTCCAGCTGCTCCACCACATAAAAGACGACGTATGGGCGACAAATCAGCACCAGGTGAATTCTCAGCATACTGAGGGCAGTAATTTAGCTCAGGTGTTCACGCACTTTTCACTAGCATTGATGGATCTACGACTCACTTTCTTGTAGAAATTATAACTCCCGAACTGCACCGCAGAATAAGGGACTATGCGAATACAATTCGTCCCGTTGCCTCGCATGAACCCCCTCCATCCTTCTTCTCGCCACATCTTCACGAGTGCCTTCCATATTGATAGCTTGTATTCTTCTCTGCCAACACTTTGGATTTGTAGCAAGATCTTTAAGCGTTCAAGTGGTGACACTATTGTTCTGGAAACCGCTCCCGCTACTCCCCCAGCTATAAACGCCGCGACAACAGGTTCACCGATCTTACTTCTGACCTTTTTGAAGGAAGGCGTCTTCTCGGAACGAATTGACTAGAGACCACAAAGGATGAGCATTAGGCCGTATCTTCAAAGCATAAGTTGAAACCAGAAGATGGCTTGAGAAAGGTAATTACCTCGGATGCCGATGTCGACGAAGATTGTAATTGAGGCAGTGGCTCCCTTTTTGAACCCTCAGCGCCACCCTCTCGATTCGTTTGCTGGCGATCTAAGCTCATATTGACGGACAGTACATTGAATCTAATGGATGTAGTACTGTCCAACTGCTGGTAACTTCCGTGCACTGCCTATCACTAGGTGATTCAACTGGCGGTTTGAAAATGGGTCTGCCTTGATATCGCGTCAAGTCTCCATGAGAAGTTGTCAAAGATTTAGGCAATGCAATATAGTAGTTCACCAAAAAACTTGCTCTTGTAATTTTGTCCCGGCCATGAAGCTTCCCATTGCAGGTGCTTACTTTAAGGTCGAGTTCCATGACAGAATTTAATTGGCGAATTAAGTAGTGTTTATGGAAACTATCGGGTAATAAGACCAAGTACTGCTGTGTATCGCTGAGATTACAAAAACGAGCATAAATGCTTCACTAGGCCAACCTTTGATGACCCGCCACAGCGCATTCAATAGTGATACTATTTTTGTTTTGAATTCCCTACAGAAATTTGATCCCCGTCGGTATACTTGTAGAAACTGTGGCGTTCTTGTACTTGGAAAGTAGATGTAATATTTGTTATTGTATCAAAACTAGTAACTTACTAGCTAACTAATTAGTTAAGTTAATTATTATGTAATAAAGGGGCGTAACTAAGGATTGGTTCGTTCATGGCGTGTCCGCTCATCCGTACTCAGTTTTTTACTTCTGCCGGCTGCCAGAACGATAATGCCCCATTCTCACCGGTGAAGGACTTGGACACAACACTCCGATCACCTTTTTCCCCAAGGATCCATATCTCAGTTTCATACAAAACATAATTTCGTGGAACTGTCTAATTGAAATCAATAACAATGTCCCGGCCAGGTACCACCCTCTATGTCACTGGCTTTGGGCATGGGACTCGAGCTCGCGACCTTGCCTACGAATTCGAACGGTACGTGCCGCTCGTCGATTGCTACGCGCTACCAAGATCCCACGGCTATCCTATCCATACACGAAACTATAAGCTCGACCAAGCCTCGCTGCCTTGACGTCGAAGCGGTTTTCCATGTTAAAGAAATCCATCGGCCTTCTTGCCCTCTGAGAGACTTTTCCTTCGAGAATTTACCAAATCCTGATATATGCAATTTAACCATCTGCAACTATGATTTGTCTCATGATATTTTCGCTGTAGACCACTCATTCTAACCCGTGACTTAGGTACGGACGCCTCGTTCGATGTGACATTCCTGCGCCTCGTACCCCTTCGAGCCGGCTGTGAGTTCAATAACCGACGTCCAATTATGTGAATCTGTCCTAATATGAAATAGTTTTGCTTTTGTGGAATACGAAAGTCGTCGAGACGCGGATGATGCATATCATGAGATGCATAACAAGCGCATCGGTCGCGACGATTTGCTGAAAATTGAAGTAAGTGATACCTGTTTCATATGTACCGGCGTCGATCTAATCAACCCGAAGTGGGCTCGGACGCCGCCATCTGCATCTTGGCGATTCGATTCAGGCCGTGACCGCCGACGTGACCGCACTCCTCCCCGCCGTGGTCGCTCGCCATCCCCGCGTCGTGGTGGTCGTAGCGACTACTCCCCTCGTAGGGATGACAGGTATGAGCGGGACTATGACCGTCATGACCGCGATTATGAGCGTCGTGATCGTGATTATGAGCGTCGTGATCGTGACTATGACCGCCGTGACCGTGAACGCTCCCGTGACCGCTCTCGTAGTCCTGACGAGAGAGAGCGTGACATCAAGGACGACAGAGAGAGGCGTGATGAGGAAAGAGAACGCCGTGACGAGGAGCGAGAAAATGGGCCCAATGGCGAAGACAGGAAAGGTAAGCTTCTCTTTGGATTAAATGGAGATGATTGTTGCTCACTGTGATAGTTCCATTAGACCCCCTGCCTTCTGCTCATGATGAGCTTGATACTGCTGAGTAGGTTCATTTGGTATCATGCTGATCTAGCCTTTCCTTTGTTTTCCCGTTTTGTAAGTCTGCAAACGTTCGCCTCTATCAACTCATGGAAATAAATTCCTTTTGGGTTCAACGAGAAGGAAACGGCCTTTGCAGATTTCGGTGTGGCTTTTACATCGGTATCTTGCCATCCCTCCCCTTTAATCTCAGTGTTATCTTGTTTTCTTGTGACTTTCCCCCTTGTGATTTCTCGTTCTTGGCTACGGCGGTGATGGGTTTGTGACCGTGGAGTTTTGTTTTCGTTTGATGTTGGTATTTATCCTGGCCAGCAGCTCGAATACATACCGAACGAACATCGAGCGATCATTCAATCCGCCAATTCTTACCGTCCTTTCGTCACGATGAACGACGGTCCGTCGCCCGTTCTAATCCCAAGCTTAATAAGAAAACGATTCACATTTACCTCTCCCTCCTCCCCCTCGTCCCGTACCACCGATCGAGACTTGAGCTTTACGCTCATCATTTCGGAAATCGATTTGTAGTTTTTAGTGTAATTCTCTATGTACATACGCTTGTATGAACGGAGCAGGCTTGGTTTCGAGAAACCCATCAGTTCCTAGCTCCGCCCTTCATTGCCTTGCTCCAACCGTCTATTGCGAAGCCGGAACTGTTAACAACTGGGATGTTTAACATGAGATATCTCAAAAGGACATTTCGGACCATCCATGCTCCGTCGATCGATGGGTAGTACTTAATGGAGTCAACTGTACTACATGCTAAGTGCATTGCAGTAATGCTGTAATAATAGAGTATGCGACTCAGTAGCCTACCAATGGAATTCGTGAACGGTATAAAAATTACGTATGGAGATACTAGTAATATTACGTACTACAGACATCTCACATTGTACCATATCTCCACTACCCCGTCCACATAATCCCACAATTTCCCAGATAAGGCTTAGTTTCCTTTCAATTCAACGGAGTACCTTGCCGAATGCTTTGCGTCTTTGTCGAGGTGATAGTCAATTTAACTCGGGCAATCACTCCGAGATATATACTCCGGGGTACGGTAAGCCCATCGGTTGATTATCAATTATTGCTTGGTTCCCTTACCCTTTTTTAACATGGCGTCGCCAACATTTCAGAGTGCTTATGCCATTTTGTTTCAAAATGATTGTGAGAAATGACGTCAAATCCACCGGAGTTTTGCTGCGTCATTGGGGTGAACCATGACAGTGAGCCTAGGGGACAGATAAGGAAAATTGGAAATAGTAACACTCCCCCAGATCTCAAATCACTCTTTACTAGAAAAGACAACTTATAAGGAAACTGCAATTTTTTTTTTTTTTTTTTTTTTTTTTTTTTTTTTTTTTTTTTTTTTTTTTTTTTTTTTTTTTTGTCGTATGACAAAGTTAACAAGGCGCCAGTTGAGGCCTACGTCTTCTACCCAGCGAATTGCTCGACAAGTAGGGCTGTTCTCATACTTTTAGATGTCATAGATTCGTCAACTCCAAACTGATAGCAGATCAACTTGCTAGAAATGGCTCTTTTGTGGTCATGCCTGACCTCTTCCACAGCGACCCAATAGTGCTCAATCGGCCTGCGGATTACAACTTCATGGTATGGCTCAGAGGCCCCCCCCCCCCGGGAAACTGGCCGAATAGAGTTGATCCTGTGGTTCATTCAGTTCTAACCGACACGAGAGGAGGCTTTCAGTGTCAGAGGATCGGCCTTGTGGGTTATTGCTTTGGGGTATGTCTCATGCAAGCTGGTATATATCCGCATCCATAAGAGCCGGTAATCTAACGGTTGTTAGGCGAAATACGCAGTTCCGTTTCTTGAAGCCAGGCTTCAGAGACAGGTTATGTTGCCCATCCCAGTTTCGTTGAGGCAGCTGAATTGAACGACATTAAAGGGCCATTGTCAATAACAGCGGCTGGTGATTGTTATTACTCGCTTCATTCTCAGATGTGACTAATCAAACTGGAAACGGATTCGATTTTCCCGTCCCCAAAGCGTCACGAGTCCGAGGAAATTCTTGCAAGAACTAGCCAACCATACAAAATTAATATATTCAGTGGCGTTGAACACGGTTTCGCTGTGCGTGCTGATATTTACAAATCCCATGCTAGATTTGCAAAGGAGTGTGCATTTTGCCAGGCAGTCGCTTGGTTCAACCAATACCTTTAGATATTTAAATATTTTAGAAGGAAAGACAGATGCTCTTGGCCACATCCGGTTAGATCATCTACCATGGCCCTATTATTCAGTTAATCAGTCAGTCTCAAATGATGGTGAATCTGTCATACAGCGTAGTTGAGCATATTCTCTACATCACTACTTTTGAGACCCAAGAGTAACAATTGAAGAAAGCCACTTGTATTGAAGAAGCAAGTTCCCACTTCACTAAGAACCAAATACTTTATATACTTTACTAGAATGAAAGTTGATAGCAGTCAATGTATCAAATACCCCGATTGAACAGTGCCCATTCACTGCATGCTCTCGTATGTAGCCATCAAAGAACCTGATAAAAGATTAGCATTCATTTATAGACAAATCATGCAAAACTCATCAACAGCCACAATAACTTACCAATAAACGTGGTCACTAGACGAGAGCGGACCTGACAGATATCCTCAGGAACAAGCCAGATCGTGGCACCCAGCTTTCTTGCAATACTGATGCTCAGTTTAGCATTTGCATATGCTTCCTCATCAGTCCGGCCAGGAGTGACGAGATCATAATCAACATAACTGCTCTTCATGCCGCTCAGCACATCAAGCAAGAAGAGACCGGATCCAATAGACTTATCCTTGAAACTACGGATGGTTGATGCTTTGCCTCCCTTTCGAGACATGTCGTTTGCCCATCGAATCATTTCCATGTCTGTAATTTCATGTTTGCCCATTCGTTGCGCCAAGGATGAAAGTGTGTTGGTAATATCTTTTCGCATCAATTGCCACACCAATCCCAGAGTCAATGTTCGCTGACCATCGGTAATATCGGCACCCTGAACGCCGACAAGGGAGAAGCCAATATGCTTCCCAAGTTCGATAGCGTAGTTTGTGTTTTCGACAGCTTTGAATCGCATCATATCTCCGCCAGACGCAGGTGGCTTATTCACATGCCTCCAGTTGACACTACCGGGAATCACTTTATCGTATGCCTGCAGCAGGACGGTCCCGTTCTGGAGATCGTCAAACAATGAATTCACAGCTGGCTGAACATCCAAAGAATTTAACCAGAGGGTGAAAACTCTGGCCTCTCTTTCACCTTCAGCATCAAAGTCTTCAACTTCAAGCTTTTCTTCTTCAGTGATCGGATCAAGACCTGGACAGGTATTGAACAAGTTCGCAACGAATGCAAGATTGAGTTTTGGATTCCCGGCAACAAGCGAGGTTGGAGTCAAAAACTTCCTGCAACCTAACTTGTCAGCGTTCGTCAGAACCTGCTCGGCCCGTTGGAGTCGGTCTTGAACTTGGAGCGGCCCTCGCGAGCAAAGATCAGGCGCCAATTGGTTGAGGAGAACTGTGTAATTTTCGCCATCCTTCACGTCGGTGGAGAAGTTCGTCACCCTAGAACACAGAATCAGTATCATAGGGAGAAGAAGGTTGGAAGAGGGAAGTGAGGGAAGAGAAAAGAGAAAAAAGATGAGTAGTACCTTTTATCCCATTTGGCGTTTTTCAGATGATAATTGAACCAACGAAGCAGTATCTGCTCTGGAGGCAAACGTAAAAATTGTTCCAGGGTCTCGTCCTCTTCCAGCAGTCTATACAACTCTGGATGGAGTTTGATGTCGATCTTGCCCAAGAGACCCCGGCGGATGATTTGCCAAATGAGGCCAAGAATAAGGTGTTCGCGAACCTCGATGATATCGCCACTTCCGATGTTCACAACTGAACAACCAATGCCCTTAGCCGAGTTGATAACGATGTTGTTGTTTTCAGTCATGTGAAAAGCATTAAGTTGCTTGATCTTTTTCCCGGCCTTATTCAGGACACGTTCATCAATAGTATCAGGAACGCTATCGTTGATCAACTTCGCCAATACCAATCCATCTTTGCATTCATCGAACATTTCGAAGGTGTCTGTTGGGAACGGCAAAAGATGGCCAATATCTGGATCGCCAGCAAGAATAGCATTAATGTGCCTTGTGAACTCGGTTCTTTCATCTTCGTTGATTGTATGTGTGACATTTGCGGAAGAACCCTGGACCTGAATTTTACCACCAACACTACCCTTGGAAACGTGCTTAGACGGGCCTGCTCCGTTTCCTTGGGCAGCGTGAGTAGGACCAGACGGCTTGCTCTGTAACGAGACCGAGCGGAGTTTGGAAATAAGCTGATGCCAGAGACTTAGTCATTTTGCTCCAAAAGATAAGATGGTCGAGTACAAACATCCACATAGTCTTCAAGCTCCACCCGACGTGAGCTATCAAGCTCAACCTCTTTTAGAGCTTGGCGCACCACATCATATGGTTGTCGCTCAGATTGTTGGGTAGCTTTGATAACACTAGCCTCATCCAAATAGCCTTTGTCATCTGGATCTAACTTCCTAAATGCATCCTGAAAAGAGAAGATTTCGCTCTGATCAAAGTGTGGATACTTTCTGCATGGACAACATAGTTAGAAGACACCTAGACATTGTTGTATATCATACAGGGAGGTACGGAATTTAGCACAAAACGAATGCAACCTTGCAAGGAAAAACCCACCGTTGAAGTTTGAGTACATTCATTTTCCCTTTCTTTCCCAGATCCAAACGTCGTCACTGGCTTAATGTCGAATTCAGGCGCGGTATACGGCAGGCAAAAAGGAGGACGGTAACCTGATTTCAGGCAAGAGAAATCTGGTGGTCAGAAGAAAAATGAAACTGTGGCAGGATGACGAAGCGCGCTGTATAATACTGGGGTGGAAAGCGCTGTGTACGGAGGCAGCCGTGACGACGGAATAGATGGAGCAAGAGTGGGGTTGTTTTTTCCCGGGCTCTGGTAACACGTATTAAGTACGAATACGAAGTAACTACAGAGTATATAGCCGTTAAATAGTCTGTTGGTCAAAATTTTGCTACTGGGAAATATAAAATGAAGAATATTGAAAAATATTTCTGTATGAAGTATCATAAGATATCTACTCCTTGGATATAGAGTATACATCGTAGTATTCCCATACTATACACGGTATTATTGTTCTGACGATGACGCATTGGCATGTGGCTTCCGCTGCCTGATGATGTCGACCCGCCACTTTTCTGAACTGACCTGACTAAGAATGTCAACACAGACATCTTGTACAAAGTATCAGCACTTGGTAAGTCCACATCCAACTAGAAATTTAATTGTATCCTACCGCTCCCTTAGTTTCATATCAAAAGCCTATGGGAAGCGATTGCGACTGCTAATCTTGTATAGAGTAAGCTGTCATGCAAGTATGAAATAGTTCTCTTGTTTCTCGATGTTACTCCTTTCCATCAGCACCCTCTTTCTTAGCCGAAGGTCCTGCGTGCGGTACTGATTCGGGCGATCGGGACTCGGATTGTTGATGCGATTTTAGTTTCTCGGCTATTGGTTCAGAAGGCAATCCCTACGTTTCATAATTGGCGTGTTTTCATACCCCGGTGCTTCCCATCAAACGGAAACGTATACCTTCTGGATCGTCAAGCATATCGAAGCTCAATGACTTCGGCGAAAGCAAAGGATTCGCCGTCCGCGAGAACTCCTTGGAGCGATTTTCGAAGCTTGACACCTAGGTCTACTCCAGATTACTCTGCGAATCAAGATGTTTTACAACGATCAAAGGGAGAAGATCATATTGTCACACACAGGCATAGGTTAAGCCTACGTTTTTACCCAAAAGATTGCCCACCTTTAAAAGTAAGGTGGTTCTACGCAGTTGATTCGCCCAAGCGAAAGCCAACATTATCCGACCAAAGAGGGAGAAGTGCAAAACCTCTACCTCTGCCCAAGAAATTTGTGCCATTCTCAGTCAAAGATTCTCAATCCGTTGAAGTCGCATTTCAGAAGCTCTCCGAAATCGAAGCTGAACGCGAAGATATCAAATATACACACCCTACCGGTAGGGTACAAGGCAGTTCAATGAAGGTACCTGTTAACGAAGATTACCTTTTTGATGTGGACGTCGAGAAAAGAGAATTAGGCCCAGCATATTGGGAAGGCCCAGTGTATGAGGTTCGACGTGGGACGTGGTTTTTTCAAGAGGGGTCAACGCTTAAACCATGCAACGAAACACTCGCCACCCAGCTTGAGGAAGGGTATCTAAAAGTGAAGCCATGGCGCTTCGACGAGTCACATGGATCTTCAAGCCGCCAGTCGATGTCCTCGACAAAGCATGAGCTCGATAAATTCAGCACGAAAAGAGATTCCACTCCGGATTTAAATTCATTGCGGTCCACAGAAACCGATGTTACTCGGAGTCGTGCTGAAAAGTCGGGGCATGCAACTACTATTTCTTCCAACGAATCCCCGAGTTATCGCTTGTTTGGCGCTTACATGAATAGCATAGTTACATACCAGGATCCTGCAACTGCATTGTTAACCAACGATGATTTTATGTCCCGCGTGAGCACCACTGTCTATCAAACATTGGGTGGTATCCCTGGCACTAGGGTAGTACGCGGTTTCACCGAGGCCAAAAAGCAAAGGGAAAATCCAGACACACGAGACTTCCCTGAGCGAAAGCCGTTCGAAGACCCGTCTCTTAATATATCAGGGAAATCTTCCAGAAATTTTTTGCATAAACATGAATCGGAAGCTACTCAACCGGATCAAAATGAGAACTTCACCGAGCAAAGCCCAAGGTCCACTTTAGAACGACAGATGTCATCGCTTGCTGGCGAACCACAGAATGCAGCCGAGCTGGAGGAACAAGCTCGTAAACAAGAAGAAAAGGAAATGGAGGACTCGAGGGAGGTGGAAAATGAAGATAGGGAGCGTACCGTTGACCATATCATACTGGTGACACATGGGATTGGGCAACGACTGGGGCTACGTTTGGAGAGCATTAACTTTATACATGATGTCAATGTCCTCCGGAAGACATTGAAAAATGTGTATAAAGCCTCTCCAGATCTCCAAGCCCTGAATTCTGCATATCAGGATCATGCGACAAATTGTCGAATTCAAGTATTACCTGTGTAAGCGAGCCTTGCATCATCCACCTGATCTCCTCGATGCTCCTTACATTCCTTTTATTCACTAAAATACCGCCTGGGCTTATTGACGTGCTGACAATAGTTTAGATGTTGGAGGCATCTTCTGGATTTCCCTTATCGTGGTGTTAGGCAGAATCGCAAGGAGCTTGACCTCGCCGACGCTGACGCCTCTGAAGATGACATTTATCCAAGTTTAAACGACATCACGCTTGAGAGTGTGCCTGCAGTTCGAAATCTCATATCCGATTTGGCAATGGACGTATTGTTGTACCAAAGCGAATATTGTGAACACATTGCTGTCATAGTCCAGCAGGAATGTAACCGGATACTTGAGCTTTTCAAAAAGCGAAATCCGTCTTTCAGGGGCTCAGTTAGTCTCTGTGGGCATTCGCTTGGGAGCGCAATCCTCTTTGATATTCTCTGTCACCAGCAGGACGAATCCAAGCCATTTGAACGGATAAATGCAGGGACCCAAAGAGAAACTGCGCCATATCCACGTCGGGATTACCCCTTGGACTTTGAATGCGAAGAATTCTTTTGCTTAGGGTCGCCAATCGCGCTATTCCAAATGTTGAAAGGCAGGACTATCGCCGGAAGAAATACAATGAGCACCACCAAAAGCCCCGGAAGACCAATTAATACTGAAGATAACACTGGAACTTTCGGATCGTCAGCTTCTCCCTCCATGCACTCTATAGGAGGTGGACTTGGCGAAAGATGTTCTATATCATCCTCCCCGAAATGTCGACAATTATACAACATCTTCCACCCGTCCGATCCTGTGAGCTATCGTATTGAACCGCTTATATCACCAGCAATGTCGTTACTCAAGCCACAGCCCTTGCCGTCTGTCAAGAAAAGTCTTTGGGCGGCATCAGGACAGAGTCTTTCAATTATCGGTACCCGTGTGGGCCAAAGCGTGGGGTCCATGTGGTCCAACTTTACATCCGGCGTTGCGAGCAGCCTGCTCAATCGCAGCCTAGGATTGAATTCCGAGGACATACCTTCAAATGCGGGTGCTCAGTCTCCATCTTCACCAGCAACTGATCCTTTCAGAACTAACACAGACACCGATTCTTTACACGAATATGCGAATCGACCTCGAACATTAATAGAACCTGACTTGGAGACCCTTTACGATGGCTTTCAGAAAGCGAGAAGCAACCGCAAGGAGTCCTCTCAAACTTCAACAGATGACGACGCTACTTGTTACCTGGACTCTGAGGAACGTGCAAGAAAATTGAAAGTCGAGGACGCTAAAGTGAGAGCATTGAATACCAATGGTCGCGTTGATTACAGTGTGCAGGAGTAAGAACGCGCTTCGGCTGTTTGATTATTAGTGCTAATCTTTCAACGCAGGGGAGCATTTGATATTTCTTTGATTGCCAGTATTGCAAGTCATCTTACATATTGGGCAGATGAAGATGTTAATCATTTTATACTCTCACAGGTGTTATCAAGGAAGAAGATATATTGAATTATAGAATCGGACTAGCCATGTATTTATGCGTGTTCCGCCAAGTGCTCGAGATTTTGGAAATATGGGACCAGGAGTGAAATGAGATCGTGTACATTTATACCACACCGTGAATGTATAGAGTAGTGAGTGATTACTAGTCAAAACATCGGGTGTTTATGGAATTGTTTTCTTTTCTCCTATAATAGCGACTAAGATTTTCTAAACTTAAGTAAATAATTGATGTTACTCCGGAGTATACCGGAATAATGTTCCTAAAAGAGGTTAGCGAACACACTACTTAAGTCCATAACCGAGATCACAGAAAAAAAAAAAACGACCGCTTTCTCGCATCATTCATGCCATTGATCTCCTTATTTCGAAGTACACTGTCAAGCATCAAAGGTTCGCCTCATATGATATGGACTCCCCACTTAAGCACGTTCACACAGTGTGGGAACGTATGCGCACAAACAGTCCTATATACGCTTTCCTTCTTGATCAGGTCGAAATCTGTCATGCTGAAAATGGCGTTGTGCGTGCTCGACTTCAGGTAGCACCTCAACATATCAACTCGAAAGGGACTCTGCATGGTGCCTTTTCCGCTTGTGTCACAGACTGGGCCGGTGGATTGGCCATTGCATCTTGTGGTCTGGATTCAACTGGTGTCAGCGCAGATATTCATGTCAGCTACCTTTCTGCAGCAACGACCAATGACTGGCTCGAGATTGAAGGTCGTGCCGACAAGGTTGGAAAGAACCTTGCGTTTACAACCATAAGTATCTCGAAAAAGGGCAGCGCAGGCGAACTGGCGATAGTTGCGCGGGGATCCCATACGAAATACATCAAGACCCAATAACTTTGACGGCTTATAGTTGGGAAACCTTCCCAGGAAGCCTTCTGCGTAGGGTAGGATAGCCTATGAGACCCGCTATCTTCTTTGCATCTGGCATGGATAGCATTTTCTTTGAATGCCCGGATTCACTCGGATAGCGGAGAATAATTCCATTCAACTAGCTTTAGATTCCTTGTCAGACAGACTGTGAGACAAGGAAATTATGAATGGATACATAACATTATGATTATTATCATTAGTATCTTTTTTTGTTTTTCCGGCTCTCTTCTCGGGATGTGGAGTTCTACGCATTGAACTAGTATCTTGTATTTCTACAATAAGTACTCCGCACGGAGTATTCTGTTGAGAAGCTGAGTTTCTCTTTCAAATTGATGTACCCCATACTCTGTACATATCACTATGTGTAGGTGATTGGTCTTTTTTTTTTTTTTTTTTTTCATGGTGCTACTACAAGTAGTTATGAGTACTACTAATATTCATTACGCCACTCCACTTTGCGCATGCAGGTTTGTGTATTTACTACAGAATACATAGGAGAAGCTTATTCTGATTTAGCTGCAGTGTCTAATAATTTTGTTTTTGGGTGGATGCGCTATTTGGATTTATACTACTAAGCTAGCCTCGGATCTGTGTTCATAACACGGTATTCTGCTGCACACAGGGGCGACAGCAACAACAACAACAACAACAATAACAACAACAACCACCACCACCATCACCATCTGCCTCTCATCTTTCCCCACTCTAGTCCCCTACTCATCTGCCAATACTGCACATATTGTATTCCTCCTTTATCTCTTTTCATGGAATCATCATGAATGATTTCAATGATGCGGCTGCTTCTCCACGAGCAACCGAGCCCCAGCTTCTGGGGGAGCCACTCTCAATGAAGCATGAGCATGATAGCTCCAAAAATGCCGCTTCTCCTGCACAGTCGAATGACCTTCTCAATTATATTCTCCATTTCCTCTCGACGTCTAGCAATGAAGCGTTGCTTTGCGTTTTCGCATGTTTAATGGTTGCGACGTATATCTTATTGGGAAGGCTCGGACTTATATTAATTGGAACTGTCCTCGGCGTCATTTTACATGCTTCATGGGAAGGGTGGGGCAATGGACATTCTGCCCAAGAAACAGGTATACCAATTGCCCGTAGAAGGGAGCTTACGCTGCATTTGGCCAACAGACTGCTCGACTGGCCGAAGCACAAATCATCCGAAGTCGCAAGGGAACCGACTATAAACTCGGACTATTCAGCCTTTCGCCCAAAGACAGCTGCAGCTTTGGTGTCGTTGACGGACTCGATAGTAAAGGATTATGTGAAGTAAGCTTCCATCGCATTGACGTCCGTCACCGCGGCTGACCAGGAATTACAAAATAAAAGCTACTGGTACGAACCGATTCTACCGTCCGAGTCGAACTTTCCTCTGTCGTGCCGGAGGATGTTGACCGATTTTATTACTTCTATATCATCCCACCTCGCGCGTAAACGAACAGCAGACACGTTTTTAGCATTCCTTACGAACTCATCCTCCATGATTATTGTCTTCTTAAACGAATTATCCACGGCTTTTGAGACGACGAATTCGACTGCAGCACCTGAACAGACGGTCAGCCGATATCTAGAATTATTCCCTGAAAGTAGCCTAGCAAATGTTCTGGCAGATCAGCAGCAGCGCAAAAAACTCAATATGATTGCGGATGATATCCTGTCTAGTTTTCTCGACCAAAAAGCATATAGCTGCTATATACTCAGGGATTTCCTCCGCGAGATATTAGCCGGTGTTATCTTTCAATCCATGATGTCCAATTTCTCGCGCCCAGAATTCATCAACGGATGGATAATCCATCTCTTGAGCGAGGGTGAATCCGAAATAATGAACGCAATCGATGCCGGTGTTGAAGGGGCCCGGAGCCAGGGTGTGACTGCACCAAAGGGTTCTGATTTGAAGAACACTTCAGACATGAACACAGTGGGCAGCGTCGAAAACGACCCTCAGGTGCCGCCACAAACAATTAGGGGGCAGAGTAACCACTCAGATAAGGCAACGGAAGAAGCAATTAAAGAAGCAAAGCGTCTAAGTGCCATGATTGCAGCGCAGGATTCACAGAGGCAAGATTTGCAGCAAACAATCAACGAGGGTCGGCGAGATTCTGTTCCAGATAGCACCGATGATGTTTCTTCTGCTGAGGTGCTTGATCAAATTGAAGATTCGGTCAGCAGAAATGACAAGCATATACTTGATACGAGTGAATCTTTGTCTCAAAGGAATCAGCGGCAGCTCTCATCTTCCCCATCTATTTCCAGCTCGTCAAGGTCTACACCAGAAATCATCCAAGAGCCTACCTTGATTCTTCATGGAGCTTCCGTATCTGTGGATGTCGAATCGGAGCCCGGAGAAAAGACATTAATCCGGTCGAAGCCTACGTCAAACTATTTAATCCAGGTTGAACCGACATCTACACGATATTCCGGTTGGATGACATTAAAAAAACACGCTGATTTTGAATCTCTACATGAGACTCTTGAGGCCATTTCAAGGTTGAACAATCTTTGGGGTTTCACAGAGGCGCATCCTACTATACCAACATGGAAAGGGAATACGAGACAAGTATTGGCACAAGAATTGGCACGATATCTGAAGGATGCTCTTCAACACGAGTCCCTCGCAGCAAGCGAAAAGATGAAGCGTTTTCTTGATAAGGATAATCGTCTCGGGACCGATCCTGCAGAGTCATCTACGAGAACAGGTTTTTCTTTCCCTAGCCAAGCCACATTTGAAAATGTGGGAAAGGGTGTTTTAGGCGCATTAGCTAACGCGCCCAAGGGCGTTGCTGGGGGAAGTAAAGCTGTCTTAGGCGGTGTGACTGGGGTATTTGGCAACGTTGGAGGTAACAGCAAACGAACATCTCGCTCATTTGCTGACCAGAGAAATATTGAATCAAATGAGACTTTCCCTGCTGAAACGGAACAAGCACGAAACTCGAGGACTCGGAAGGACTCGCTTGATTTGACCTCTGGTTCCAAACATCACACATCACCGCCTCGATTTACCGACAAAAAGTATCCTTCAACGCGCAATTCTTGTTCCAGCTTTTCATCCTCGAACGATGCTTCTTTCTCTCAAAACGATCGCTCTGACAGGTTAACTGAAGCTGTGGGTAGTGCAGTTAGCCTGGTAGATGATGGGCTAGATGCAGGGGTCAATCCGCTTTCGAGTAACGTCTGCCCATCGAATGGGTCTCCTTCCAATGGACTCGAGCAAAAAGAAGCCCCAGCGATGGGTCCCCAATACCAGCAGGCTGAAGTGATGGGCTCTCATCAACAAACAACTCCCGATATAAGAGCTGCAGGAGCGATTATGGATAAGGCAATTACGAATGAGGAAACCCAAATAGCAGTGGAGCTAATATTTGCTGTTATAAATGAGCTTTATACTCTATCGTCCGCCTGGAATATTCGTCGGACACTTCTGAATGCTGCAAAATCTTACATTCTCCGTCCCGGAAGCCCAACTTTGGAAACGATCCGAATCCTTCTTCAGGATTCGATGATCAATGCGAACACGTCAGATGAAACAATAGGGGCATATATTACCAAACTTCGCGAGAATGTCCTTCCGACAGAAATCGAGATGAGGACTTGGCCGCCGCCACCTTCTGAGGACGAAAAGGAGCGTTTACGAGAAAATGCACGGAAGCTTCTCGTTCAGAGAGGGTTGCCACAGGCATTGACAAGCGTTATGGGAGCGGTTGCTAGCCGGGAAGCACTTGAAAAGATATTTGATTGCCTTCAAGTAGAGACTATTGCCCGTGGGTTTGTCTTCACGATTCTTCTGCAGGTCTTGAGGGCTGTCATTATTTGAACATAGTTTAGTCAGAATTGATGTATAGAAATGGCCTTGACTTAGGCATCAAATAACGCTAGATACCTACACATTGGGACGGGACCCTATCTATTCAAAAGATTATCTAGACAATCCTCTCCGCACTTCATATGAAGATATACGCATCCTTGTTATCTTCTCCGAGACAAATACTTGTGCCATTATATCACATGCTACCGTACTATCTTATCTTCACGTGAGTTTACGCGAGCGCGTCCGGGCCTAAGTCATTGACTTCACATTCAACCCATTAATTGAGAGTGATACCCGACAACGGTGTTTGTTAGGACTCTTTCTTCTCGCTTGGGGGGCTTTATCATATTCATTATGGCTTTCAAGTCCAGAAAGCGAGTATCAACTGACGACCTTGTCGATGACGGGGATAACACAAAGAGGATGAAAACTGAGATGACAGAAAATAATGCTGCGCCTGATTCTCCCAAAATTGATTCTAACGGGGATCCGTACTGGGAGATATCCAAAATGCGTCGCGTCACCATATCCACATTTCGAGGGAAAACAATGGTCAACATTAGAGAATACTATGAAAAAGATGGCCAAGAGTTCCCAGGAAAGAAGGTAGATTGCATTTTGCCCTTCGCTGAATATTCTTTAAAGTCACCCTTGGTATGCTACAAATTGACAATTACTCACATTTCTTTTCTTCATAGGGCATCTCCATGCCGATGGACCAATATGCAGCATTCGTCAATTTACTTCCAGATATTGAAGCTTTGCTCAGGAAGAATGGACAGTCAGTTCCGCGCCCGAACTATGACAATACAGCTGGTCAATCTGATGGATGTGATGATGAGGATCAGGGCGAGCCTGATGATGATTCTGAGAAGGGCAATGAGGCTACAAGCGATGAAGGGGAAGAGGAATGAATTCTGTACAATCAAACTGTAAGGAGTTAGCTACACTGCCTTTCACTCTAGTCCTTGCAGGGCTTCTCTGCAGTTAACATCATAATATATAATTCACAAGTCTGCCAATCTTATTCTTCTTTCATCGAAGGTATACCAACCTTGTGATTCTTGAAGAAATATAGCATTTCATGGAAGCCCGCATTCTGTGTATTTACGCCTGGCCAAGGCATTGTTGGCTTGCAGCCCTGAGAAACGAGAGTCGCAGTTCTCTTGATCATGATTCAAGCCATAGCCCTTTTGATTATCCGGTCCATGGTTTTAATGTAATACTGTGTAAACATTTTTCTGGTCAACGTATTTACCCAAATCTCGTTTCGGCACCACATTTTTTCTGAATAACACAGGATGACAAGCTTGCTTGGAAGTATACAGATACGAGATTTGCTTATATTAATAGTGAAATAGAAATTGTTTTTGACTGCGGCCTTTTCTCTCTGGTGCTGCAAGGTATATGATACGAGAAGGACAGACCGCATGCATGAAAGATTCCTAGGAAGGTGTCAGGAGAGCATGCGATCCCGAATTTAAGATAGCTATGGAGATCATGTGTACTTAGTAATGGCAGCTTGGAAGAGAATTAGTTTGTTGGCACGGAATATGTGAGATAGATGAGGTGAGACAGCTTTACCAATTAGTTTTTCTAAAACCTCTGAAGTTCAATATGGATTATATTATAGTTAAGTACTTTAGTATTACAAAGCATGTCGAGTCTTTTGCATAAAACAACTGTATGGTAAATAGGCCATAAAGATGAATATCATGAAGCCTGATCAAAATATCCCACTCGGTAATATATACTAGATGAGTAGTACACAATACTGTACTGGTATTGGTACATATTTGTATGTAATTCTCTGTACTTACAGGGGTATGTAACTTCTAATTGGTTTACATGGTTGATATGATCTGCTCCGTGGCTACTGTATACAAAATGGGGTGGGTTCCTTGCAGCCCTCAGTAACAGGAATGATACCCCTTTTCCCTTTAGTTGCTCCAATAATATTCTGTACACTCGCATAGTACGATACATAGTACAGACTGTACCAAGTACCATAGCAGTACTCCGTAGTATGCTGTATCAGTATTTCGTACTGTGTACCCAGGGTCTTGCAATCCTTCTTCTTGGGACTTCAATCTGTGTAGATATTGTTTTGCACCTTCTTCCAGCAGGTGCATTATTCATTTAGTTGAAATTGGCTTTTTTTTTTTTTTCTCTTTTCGCCCTCCAGCCCTGTGCAATATTTCTCGTGGGTGCTATCCCTAGCCACCCCGCACACTCCCCTGACTGGACCACGGAGTGCAGACTGGTACGTACGTCCGCACTGGGCCTGTCCACGGACCATCCCTGATCCCATCATTATCACCACCTGTGATTTTTTTGGTCGGCACTTTTATCCACTGGGAAACTCTGAGACTGATCATCTTCATCCTCCCCAGACATTGGGGTATAGGGGAACAAATGTACCTATTCAGTCATTAACAGACGTCAATTTGTTTGCAACTGGAGCCCCGCTGTCTTTCCGCGCTTGACCCCGGAGATAATAGAGGAGAAGCATCGCCAATTCACTTTAGGGTCAAACTGAATTGGCAATTGTCCATCCTCCAAAGATCGAATCGGTTGACTACATGAAATTTTACTTATTATGGGTTGTGACTAAACGAGATCAAACGAAGCCGATGCTCACCCCGTTTGCAAGGATGCGCCTTCATTATTAGATGCCACTCGGGATATTTGCAGAGTTCGACGAAAAACGATGCGTTGAAGCCAGTGGTGGCCGATAGGGACAGCCAGACAACCCGGCTTACAATATTCCATGCAAATCTTCTTACGACTCCTTTTGATACATTCCCGCCTTCGTTGACCTATTCCTCCTCGAAATAAGACGCACCATTCTCCTATCCACGCACCACGGCCTTTTTTAGCCGAGAGTTTGACTTGCACATTATATCGTGGCTATTGCAGCTAGATCAAGGGCTTGAATATAATACTGGGCACGCCGACTTCCCCGCTCCACCCTAAATTTTCATACAACTACGACCACAGCAGATGCAGTCGGTATTATCTACCAAAGGAATCTATCTAGACATATGTCGCCAGATCGTATATCTCCGTACAGTATGAAGAGAGCGATCCCTTCTCTCTATACTCTGATTCGCAAAGAAAACTGATATATGTTTTTAGGGACAGACCATTTAGGACAGGCTTCGAGATTGGGTACATCGACACCGTCGATTTCTGGGTTAGTGTCGGCACATAGAGTGGACTTGCCGGCAAATAGTCCAGGTGATACCGGAGCCGTTCGAGAAGGCCTGGGCAGTTTGAATCGCTGGTCCCAGTCAACTGTTTCCAACAAGAGCCCTCCCCGCTACGCTGGCTATCATCGGGGAAGCTCTAGAATATCTGATTACGACAATCTTAATCCACCCAAAGGCCACGTGAGCCCAGCAAGGAATATTCCTCTTCAACGCTTACACCACGCGAGCGCCAGCGACCCTACCAAGCTATATAGCAATACCTGTTCTGAATCGGGTGAGCAGCCCACCATTAACAACCCGAGCGTCGCATCATCGCGATCCGCCAAATCGTCTGCCGAGTCTACCTCAACTTTTACGAGTTTGTTTTACGATCCGTGGAAAAAGGACCAGGGCCCTGGCCTGAATAATTCCGAAGTTGATACGCCTAGTCACCGCACCAGCCCTATATCGCAGGCATATAGCAAAGAAATGGCAGCAAATAGCCCATCGACTGAAGAAAACTTGTCTCCGTTTGTGGACACAGAAACATACAAGGGTAAACATCAGAGAGGCCAGTCCCAAAAAACGATGCTATCAAAAGCTCTCCAGAAAGCAAATACGGCCGTGCTCCTTGACAATGCAGCGAATTTTGAAGGAGCGATGGACGCATATAATGATGCCTGTTACTTGTTACAATTGGTAATGCTCCGTAGCAATGGGGGCGAAGATGAGAAGCTAAAGCTCCAGGAAATCGTATGCCTCCCCCTAATCATCACTTAATCGCGAGAATCATTGTTCATAGACTAACCCCCCTAGCGTGATACCTATATGATTCGAGTTACTGAACTGGAGCGCATGGACTTCTCATTTCGGGAATCCGGCGGCAAAGCCCTTCCTGAACGTCCACTCAGCCAGGAGTCTGATAATGACTTGTTTCATCCACGTGAAGAAGATTATGATGAAACGCTCTCTGGCAATAGTATAAGCCCTCGACAGCATCCGTCTGAACTTTATAGTGATAATGAGATCTCAGAGGAGCGAAGAACGCTAGTCTCTGGCCTAATCCCACCAAGGCGCCAGTCCTTACTGCCCTCTGCACTCAATGATAGCCTGGAATTCAGAGGGCAATACAACCGCCCACAGTCCCAATCGTCGTGGCAGCAATCTCGAGATGGAAATTGGGAAGGGAAACATTACGCAGCGGATAACGATTTATCATTCACACTTTCCCCAACACAAAATCTCTCTATGGCATCCGACATAGAAAACAACCAGGCCTATCTTTCTCATTATTCTGAGCTACCATTGCCTGGGACGGAGATAAAGGATACAAACGAATCAACGTCCTGGCTCGATACAATTGACGAATCTGGCGCTTCTTCACCGTCTTCTTTGCGCTCTAAAAGGTCGTCTGCGTATTTACGACAAAGAACGAGTCGCCTCCTTAGCCATGGCACCGAAACGGAATTTGATGCTGCCTTAGATGCGGCGGTCGAGGCGGCTTATGATGAAGGCTTAGAACCGGCAATAGATATAGATGACGGCAGTGCTGCTGACGATATAGTGGTCAATGCACGCAGAAATGTTGAATTGGCGAAGCAGAAGGTCAGAGAAGCAGAGAGAGAAGCAGAAGTCGCCATGACTCGCGGTCGAGAGATGCACCGTATTCAAGAACATGCTATGCTTGACCAACACGAGAACTTTGACCGAGAATATCTTGATGAGGAGGCAGAAGAGGAGGAGCGTCTACTTGAAGAGATGACTATGGGTTATGTCATGGATGACTTCGAGTTTGACATTCAGTCTAAATCTGCCCTTCCTAGACAATCGGATTCGAGCAATTTTTCTGGTAGAACTTGGGAAAGCTCCACAGCCTCTAATAACACAACGGCCGGAGCGGCCCTTTCTACGCTTGCAGAAGACAGGGTCTTAACATCGGCGGCCGCTAAAAGACAATCAAACACGCTACCCCTTGCACAGCCTGCTCCAGCGACTTTGTCCACAACCCCCGACCTGTCATCCGGAGCAAGTGTGCGAGAACGGAGATTATCGGGCCGGGATTCGAAAGAGTTGAAGATCGATACAAGCGCCCGTTTAAGGGATGATTCTGACGTTTCGACTTTGGGATTACCAACCAGTCAGTTGACTAGCCGACCTCTACCACTCCCGAAAGATGAGCCCCAGACAAACCTGCCAAACAATGTGAACCAGAATCTGGATCCGGCTTCCGCATTGCGTCTTGACATGAATTCAGACGACCGGAATGCCTCTATTGGATCCCTTACCGAGGGAACACCGACAAGCATCGGCCTAAGCAAAGCCATAACTCAAGAAGATGAAGAGGACACAAGCACCGGACTTTCAACAATATTGTCACCGGCACGGGCGATTGGAAAGGTACCTTCTGCGCCCGACAACCTGGGGAAGCAAAACGCAAGTTCGAAAGCATTTCGAGTAAGAAATGCGTCAGTACCAGCCCCCGATCTAACCGCGGATTCGCCTGGCACACCGTCGAGCAGCATGTTTCCGACTTTGGACCTTCAGAAAGGAATGGCAACTGGGACAATCCCTATTCTACCAACCCCGACGGGTGCGAACTTCACTCCAAATGGCTTACCGAGCGATGGCCTCTATCTATTTGACAGCCATATACATTCACCAACTCGACCTGGTTTTCCTAACACTATGGCTGCCAACCATCCTGCTCCCCTTGAGCCATGTCCCGAATCATTTCTTTTGCGCCCTTTTTGGTTGATGAGGTGTATATATCAAACAATCGCTCATCCCAGCGGCGGCTATTTATCTACTAAACTATTCATTCCACGTGATGTCTGGCGGGTCAAGAATGCAAAAATGAAAGCATTGGAAGAAAAGGTGTCTAGCTGTGATTTGCTGACGGCAGCGCTTCTCAAATTATCGCAGGTCGACATGTACGATGCTGATGCTGTTTTGGAGGAAATGCAATCCTTCGAGAGCGTTCTCGACCAGGTACAGACCGCCCTGTCAAAGAAATTAGGTAGCGAAGTCGGTGTGCAAGGTGCTATGCCGTTGTTCAAGATGACACCAGCCTCAGATGATGCGATGGGTACTACGGACACGTTACCTTCAAAGGCTTCAAACGGACCCAGTACGAAATCTTATTTGACTTCGTGGCGAAAATTGCGGTCCAAAAACTCGGGATTTGGTTCCGCGGCACCGCCTAATTCAAAGGAAACCGGCAAAGACAACCCGACAATCAATACTCTTCCCATGACACCCATGCCGAGTACACAAACCATCAAACGCAATGTAACGCAATTGCAATTCAATGGACCGAATGCCAATTACATGGGCGCTCTGGCACGGCTTTGCGATGCTGCTCAAGCTATAGGTGAGCACCTTTATTCATGATCAAGAATGCTCATGAGACTGACCTGCGGACTTCTTTCTTAAGATCAAATCGCCCAGCAGGTGGAAGATCCAGGTCTCAAACATTCCTCGCCAACCCTTGTTGGCTTGGAGTTGAGTACGCGACATGCTGCAGAGTTCTTTGGTTTTTACATTTGCCGGTTTGTTTTGAATGATGTTGGATTGATGCTTGATAAATTTATCAAGCGTGGCAGCGAATGGGTCCTCACCTGAATGGTTGTTGATGCTAATGGCTTTCTTTCCTTTGTTTATCCTTTTCTTGTTAGTCGCTTTCCTTCCTCTTCTTTTTCTTCTCGTTTTCGTTTTCCTGGCCTGTTTTCTCTAATATTTTGGGGGTTTTGAGATACCAATTTTTTTCTTTATATAACTTCGTGGAGTTGATGAGAGTCATGCCCTATACTGATATTTCATCATGTACAGAAATGCTTATGCTTGTTGTTTCAAAATTGTGTCTTTTATCTCTTTCTGTATCCTCTTTTATTAATTAATTACTATTTTTCTTGAGCTTACATAGTGTAGAGTTTTTTGATGTGCAAATATCCATGTAGGCCTTGTCAATTGGAACAAACCTTTCGGTTTCCTGAGCGGATTACTGCCCGTTTGCAACTTGTGAGGCTGGTTAACGCAGGATTTCAACCGGTGATCAGACGTAACCAGCAACATATATTGGTATTTTACCGAAAGGTGACCCAATATGTAAAGCCTAGAAAATTCACTTTGGATGAATTGAGTCGATTAATCTCAAAATACATAGATATGGGGTAAGTGATCTCCTTTAGGGCAAATGACGTTACCCATCTTGTGCTTACCATAGGTCAACGCTACGCTGGATTGGCCCGTGTAGAGGCCGCGGCACGCGTCGCCGCCACCAAAACAAACGCGACGCCCAAACGAAGAGTAAAGGAATGCTCTGTACTCCATTACTCTGTACCTCAGACCACATCATACAGAGTATAGTCAACGCAGTTTCGCCTCGGATATTACCTGTCTTGGTATCACCTTGGTCACTAGTTGTGGCCTAGTTACTTCGTTGTTTAGATTCTCGAACGCCCAGTGATTTATTTTACAAGGCCCATCGATATAGCCAGACCTTTTCCTAAATATCCTTCTGAAGAAATTCGTCTACAACAATGCCACGACCAGCATTTAGACGAAACCGCAAGGCCCCGCAAAGCTCCGCGAAACAGATCGCAAATCATAAATCGGCCGGCGACGATAACCTCGAGTCTGTAATTGCTTCGGAATTGCCCTCGAATCACGACAGAAATGTGGACAGCGCCTCGCACACGACCGATGACGCCGAAGCTCTAACTGTGGTGCAACAAATGAAAAACGAGACCCCTACGTCCAAATCGCATGAGCAAGCAATCGAATCGTCGCCGATGGGCGAACGCGCAGCGACAGGCAGTCGACCTCCCACGAGAGCCCGTGGTTATTCATCAACCCTTTCCCTCGCAGGGCGAAAGGGTGATATGAGCTCAAAGATTCCAGGGACGCCCGCTTTCGAAAGCTCGGTTTTGAGCAATTTTAGAAGGAGAGCTCGACAGCCTAGTATTCTTCAGATGATGCAAACAGAGGATGGTTCCTCTGACCTTGATGATGATGATTTTCTTGGTGGATTGAGTCCAGAAGACGAGTCTACTCCTTTGAATGTTTCTCGTGGGAAATCGTTGATACTAAAGAATGATGCGTATCCATCTGCGGAATCTTTATCTCCATCTAGCGACAAACCGCGCAAGCGGATACGAGCGACGGAGGAACCCCAAGTTCCCCAATCACCTTTGAATGTAGTAGAGAGCACGCCTATCGACTCTCCAGCTCGTGAAACCCAAGAGAATGAAGCACACGACCGCATCGATACGCCTCAGGCCCAGATATCCCCCGAAGCATTCAGTCAGACAATGGTGCCGCCTATGAGCAGCAGCGCACCCCAAAGTCCTACGCATATTGATTTGGCTTTGGCAGAACGAGCATCACCTGTAACGTTAGAAAGCACAAAGGAACCGAATGAGCGAATAAATACGCAAGGGTACCTTTCCACAGCCGCTCTTCAAAGTAAACTGCTTCCTCGGCGGCGCCAACGGCGTCACAGGTACAATCATTCTGATATATCCAACGATGACGACAGATCCGACGACGACGATGAATTGAATTACTTGCCTTCTAGAAAATCAATGAAATCGCGACGGAAGCAAACAGACCCGCCCAATCCATCGAAAAATACGCGAATAAACCCTACAAAACCAAAGAAGCCACTGTCTAAACTTTCTAAAGGAGGGATTATATACCCTTCGGCCACCCGGGCGACAGATATTGACAAGGAAAATCAACCAGATGGAATGTCGTCGCCTCTCTCGTCAGTTCTTGATTCAGATGCATTCGATTCAGACGTTTCTATCTCAAAATCCACCGATAAAGGAAATTTCATGAGCGAGGAACTAAGATTACAGGCAAAGAAGTTTGCTGAGGTTGATGATTGGCAAATGGAATTTGAGGATGTAACTAGTACCGCGGGCAGCCAGGGCAGTCCATTTAGATAGACGAATAATCCCCCATCTCCTTTCCCCTTTTGGGCAGTAAATATTATTGCTTTTTCTTTGATTATATATTCCTATTTACATATTTGCAATGTGCTGGGTCTCCGTCATAGGAGGATCATCTCTCCCCCGGCAGTAGCCGGGGCGCTCTGCACGTCACTCGCAGCGCCCCGCACTCGAACCCCGCGATTGCCAAACTTCACACGGCATACTATCCATCTCAAGACATATTCAGGGTATTCAAGTGGGTTAAGAAATGTCATCGCTGGACGCTATCCTGGCAGGCAAATACCCTGCCAAAGCTCATGCACGCAGAGTCGCAGGGTACCTGCAAGAACGAGGTCATGGTGGTTCTGGTGTCATCTACTTGGAAGCGCAAAAGACTCGCCTTATTGAAGACAACGATGAAGCAATGCCATTCAGGTGACTCCGATCTCCCTATACTCCATGTTCATGTATAGTAGATTCTGACCTTGTGATCCTAGACAACGTCGTTTCTTCTACTACCTTTCCGGGTGCTTATTGCCAGACTCACGCTTGACATACGACATCAAATCCGACAAATTGACTTTATACATCCCTCCCATCGATCCTGATGAGGTAATTTGGTCTGGCCTTCCGTTGTCTCCTGCCCAGGCGCAAAAGCAATACGATGTTGACCGTGTACTCTCGACAACTGAGGTCAATACTACTCTTGCCTCAATTGCCTCGGCTCACAATGGCAAGGCGGTTGCATTTGCGATTGCAGACCAGATATCGGACGATATAAAGTTCCAAAACTTTGCTGAAACAAATTTATCCGCGCTGAAAGCCGCGATTGAGCTCACTCGCATTATCAAGGATGGATATGAAATTGCTCTCTTGAAGAAAGCGAATGATATTTCTGCCAAGGCTCATATCGCTGCCATCGAAGCGTCGAAGACAGCAACCAACGAGCTTGAGATTTATGGCGCTTTTATTGCAACATGCATCGCCAATGGCTGTACTGAGCAGTCCTATCACCCCATTGTTGCATGTGGCGAGAACGGTGCTACCCTTCACTACCAAAAGAATAACGACAACCTTGTGGACTCCGTCACCAAGCAACGGAAGAACAATGTACTCATCGATGCTGGCGGCGAATACCGCGCATACTGTGCCGATATTACTCGCGTCTTCCCTTTGTCAGGGAAATTTGCGCCTGAGACACGCCAGGTATATGAGATTGTTTTGCAAATGCAATCTGAATGTATCGCAGAACTGAAAGATGGCGTCCAGTGGGAAGACATCCATGCACTGGCACACCGCATTGCGATAAAAGGCCTGCTAAAGCTGGGCATTCTTCGAGGATCCGAGGATGAATTGTTCGAAAAACGAGTTAGCGTGGCATTCTTCCCGCATGGCCTCGGGCATTATCTTGGAATGGACACTCACGATACGGGCGGAAACCCCAACTACGATGATAAAGACCCCATGTTCAGGTATCTTCGTGTGAGAGGCAATTTGCCTGCGGGATCTGTTATCACAGTAGAACCGGGGGTAAGTCGGACCATCCACTTTCTTGCTTTTCAATATGATCGTTAACAATTCGTCCGAACAGATTTATTTCTGCCGATTTATCATCGAACCTTTCATCCACTCTCCTGAACTCAAACATTACATCGATACCGAGGTATTGGAACGCTATTGGAGGGTCGGTGGGGTACGCATCGAAGACAATATTCACATCACCAGAGACGGTTACGAGAATCTGACCACGGCACCGAAAGCTATCGAGGAAGTGGAAAAGTTGGCTTTGTAAAATGGTGTCCGAACGATTATAACCCAGTTGATATCCAACATGTTGTATGGTTTGATTATCAGCTCTTAGTACAAAGTTAGATGTTCATAGTGCTAAGTAATTATATCTATAGCCCTAATCATCTGTGGGAAAAGGTTATAACTACTTACAGACCAATTCAAACCCGACCTGAGGTCCCAGGTGTTAGGTCCAAAGCACGAGATACACTATTAATAACAGTAGACCGTTCAATTTAAACAATGCCTTTCCAGTAGTGCAGAAATGACAGTGTTTCGTTCGGTCAGCTACTGACCACCCCTCTGTCGCTTCCTTCCGCTTGTGCGGGCCCCCGATTCGGATTCAGTCTTGTTGTCCTGACTACGTTTTTCTTTGTTCTCCAATACGAGCGCAAGAACTTCATAAGAGAAGTCTGGCACATCAAGACACAGCCTCTTGAATTCTCCTTCCACGCCATGTCGCAAAACATGGCTTCTGGTGGCCCAAAATCTGGCGATAGGTTTGCGGAGCATGACATCATCCACAGAAGTGTGCGTGTAGACATAACGGGCATATTCAATTTCACCGCGGGGGCTACTATTGACACGATGGATCTTGGTGTGAGCGAGTACCTTCAATGCCGGTATCCTAAGCTTCTCTGCCAAGGTGTAAACTCGCGCGTGCTTCAATAATTGTTCCCCACTGCCATCGGAGACCTTTGCATCCTGTCCCGTAGTCGGTTTTGAAGTATAGTCGCGCGTGTATTGGAATTGCAGAAAGCATCCAAACGCGTCCACGTGCTCATGGGGGAGTTCAATACGCCGCTGTGAAATGAGCGCATCAGGGTCAACAGGGTTCTAATGTTTTAACAAAGGACTACAAAGCATACCGGTTCAGTTTCGCTGAATTTGTTAACCATCTCTGCAAGAAAAGGCGACTCTAGTAGCAAAGTTTGATGAGCTGTCAACGTGGTTTCATTTTCTCCCTGGCCAACAATGATTTCGACAATTGGCGACATTAGGTAGCTGTTATAAGTAAGCGGATTCGTTCTACGAGCAGAATACGATATCGTAGTTATGAAGGTGCGATTGACGAAGCATAGACAGAAAATTTCACCAGCAGGGACACAAAAGAGCTTGCACGTCCTTACTTGAGAAATCCGAGGTCCGAATTCTTTTTCGCTGCCGTTGGCGCATCTGTAGGTTGCGCATCTGATGCAGTTGGTGCATTGAGGTCTTGCGCCGTGTCCATCTGGCCACCATTCGCTGCAAAATCGCATGTGTTGTCCATTTCCACCTCCACCTCTACCCCTTGGCCCTGGACCTGGCCCTGGGGTTCGTCGAGATTCTGTGGGGGTTTCTGGAGGGTTTGGGTGTTCAAAGTATTCTGCGCTTTCTGTGCGCTTTCGGGAGCCTCAGTGGTTTCAGCAGATAAATGCAATCGAGAAGCATCCATTGCGCAAGTTAAAGTCGATAGAAGTTGTAAAGATGTTTCGCGAGAAGGAATTACTCTGCAGTAAATTCGTGATGACCGAAGAGGAAATCGGGTTCTGGATTGGCGTCCTCCAACTTTGCCTACACTTTTTATGTGCTAGAAGAGCGCCAAACAAGTGAAGTATAAGTAGAAGGTAGTGTGTCGCAAAATAAGTAGCCAAAGCAGTGGACAAGCAAGTGGGAATAAACAATATAGATCTGTCGGTGGATCGCTGTCATGCGGATGCTTTATGCTATTGTTCTCTCACTTGGCCTTCGTTTGGCAAATTTCCAGTCCAGAATCCAAAATAATTTGACCAGTAGGATTCATCATCGATTTGGTCAGTAGCCACATATACAACATGTTCAGAAATCAATTGCTGCTGAAAGGTGATTCCCAAACATAAATACCCCATGTTACGGTATATTACATGTAATGGAGATACGCGTGATTCTCCAGGTCAATTACATATTTGTACTCCGTACTCTAGGCTCTGCCGGCTAGAAGAGCATATATCCATATATGATACTTTCACCTTTGTCCCATATTACACGGGTCAGCTTCACTCTTCGAGGCTCGATTCGCGCAAGTGTATCGTCCATTCACCCATCTATCGCTGTTCAAATTCGCTGGACTGCCCCTCGAAGCCAAAGACGAAGTATGGCGACAATTATCAACTCTCCCCGGGATCCAAACACTCTCAGCAACTATAACAACTGGATTTTGACTCACATAACTGCAAATTTTGACATACTTTTTGACCAGAAGAAGTTGGCGGGAAATGTAGTTCACCAGCTCAAATCAATCACAGATGCCCAATCCCAGGATATTATTCTTGACGCCAACCATCTCGACATTGGCGATGTTAAAGTCGATGGCAAGCAATCTCAATGGGAACTACTCCCGCCCTTGGAATCTTACGGTACTGCGTTGAAAATCAAGCTTGGCCATGCTGTGAAACTCAACGAGACTATCGAGGTCGATGTACGTCATTCATTCCGAATCGTCATTATGTTCGCTTTCAATATTAACTTGTACAAAAAGATCTCAGTGAAAACTACGGAGAAGTGTACAGCATTGCAATGGCTGACGCCTGCCCAGACCTCAAACAAAAAGTATCCTTATATGTGTAAGCTGACGATGTCCCTGTGATTGGGAAGAATAAAACCCCACTGATGATAGGTGTATGCTTCAAGTCTCCCAATGCCAGGCTATTCATGCTCGCTCTATTTTTCCGTGTCAAGATACACCTGATGTTAAATCCACTCTGGATTTCAACATTACATCTCCCCATCCGGTGATCGCGAGTGGCTTGCCGGTTCGTGATTCACCACCGGAACCGCAGCCGGATGGAAAATCTCTGTATCGCTTCCACCAGACAGTGCCAATTCCTAGTTACCTCTTTGCATTGGCTAGTGGGTAAGCAGGTCGCATACATGCTTCGTGCATGCTATTTCTGATAGAAGCTAATACCAAATCTCGAACAGTGACATTTCGGAAGCCACCATTGGACCTCGGAGTGTGGTAGCAACAAGCCCCGACAAGATCGAAGAGTGTAAGTGGGAGCTTGAAGCGGATACAGAAAAGTTTATCAATGCAATTGAGGTATGTCTGATAGACCCTCCCATTTGAACGACCACTTGCTCACCCGAATACAGAAAATCGTCTACAGTTATGCATGGGGCGAGTATAATGTGCTGATTCTGCCTCCAAGTTTCCCGTATGGTGGCATGGAAAATCCGATCTTTACATTCGCCACCCCTAGCATCATTTCAAAGGTACCCCGGAATGCTCTAAAAACTCATCTGACAATCGAGTAACATTCCCTTTCATCTTATGTCTAGGATCGAGAGAACGTGGATGTAATCGCCCATGAACTTGCTCATAGCTGGAGTGGCAATCTCGTCACCAATGCTTCATGGGAACATTTTTGGCTCAATGAAGGTTGGACTACTTACCTTGAAAGAAGGGTAGGTCGACGTTACCTATTTGTTTTCTACCAAGTAACCTACTGACCAAATCAAGATCCTAGGTGCAGTGTGAGTAGTTGAGAATGGTTGAAGATTGCCAAGACAACTAACTCTTGCTGAATCTTGCTAGCCACGGGGAGCCCTATCGCCATTTTTCGGCCATCATAGGCTGGAAGGCTCTTTCGGATTCCGTGGAGCATTTTGGACGGGACCATGAATTTACCAAGTTGGTCATTGACCTGAAAGGAAAAGACCCAGACGATGCATTCTCAAGCATCCCATACGAAAAAGGCTTTAATTTTCTCTTTCATCTCGAGACCCTTCTCGGAAGGGCCAAATTTGATAAGTTCATCCCTCATGTATGTCAGTTCTCTTTCCACTCCCAGTACGATTTGCTAATTTGCTTCTCAGTACTTTACAGTATTTAGAGAAAAATCTCTCGATTCTTATGAATTCAAGACAACAGTCTTGGATTTCTTCCAGTCTGACCTCGAGGCTTCCAAATTGTTGAATAACCTTGATTGGGACAAATGGTTTTATGCACCGGGCTTGCCGCCCAAGCCCCATTTTGATACATCTCTTGTTGATGTTGTTTATGAGCTTGCTAGGAAATGGCAATCACTGCCTGAATCCTCCTTCAAGCCACAGGCAAGCGACATACACGGCTTGGCAGCAAATCAACTTGTAGTTTTCTTGGAGCAGGTGCTCCTTTCCGAGCAGCTTAGACCCGACCTGACGAAACTTATGGGCGAAGTCTACGGTCTGTACAAGAGCGAAAACATAGAGGTTGCCAACTTATATTTCCAGGTTGGACTAAAGGCCGGGGATGAAAGCGTTTTGGAGCCAACAGCAAGCCTGCTAGGCAGAATTGGGCGGATGAAATTTGTGCGACCCTTGTAAGGATATCATAGACCAGACCATCCACGCAGAGCGATTTACCAACTAATCTTACTTTACAGATACCGAAATCTCCAAAAGGTCAACCGCACGCTTGCCATCAAGACTTTTGAGAAGAACAGAGACTTTTACCATCCCATTTGCCGTGCTATGGTCGAGAAGGACCTGTTTGGCAAGAAAGACAATTAGGTATAGAAAGAATTCATAGCAGTACAATGGCGGAAACTTGTTTCAATTCCTCAACCAATAATCCTAGTCCATTCCTTGTAAATCAAACTACATGATTTGAGATTCTACGAAATACTGAAAATTGGCTGAATGAAATGATTAGTAAAACAGCTGACTGAATATAAAGTAGTGTGTAACCGTACTCCTTTTTTGTTCGACTGATTATGGCACTTGCTGAGTTTGCGATCTATCGCTTTGCGTCTACCAACTTCTTATCCAACTCGGAGTATCCGAATATGCCAGGTTTCCCGCCGCTCCTCCGTTCCAGAGTCAAGATTAGATCGCCCTCACTCACCCGGGAGAGTTCCGACAGCACTCGCCGCATATAGGCTACGACCCAAGCAATCTTAGTCCAGTCTATGTCTTTACCATCCGGCCCAGTATAATTTGCTTTCCACAGGTTCCTCCAGACAGCAGCACCAAGCACCGCATCGCCCTTGACAAGTCCCTCGTCATAAGCCGCAAGAACACCCCGCCACTGAATAAAAAGGTCCTTGAGGAATTTATTCCGAATTGCCCGGCTGGTGATACCATGGAGGACATCCATGCGCTGCTCGGCGTTGTGCGAGAAGTGATCAATCAGATGGCGGGAATATGTCTGGACACTGTCATGAGATGGTAGTGCGCGCAGTCGAACCGTCAATAGATACATGTGCAGAAAAGTTACTTGCGACCATGTGGAAAAGGTTGGGGCGAGGCTCAGTTCTAGTTGGGATGATGCCACCCATATTAGCTCATGGAATATCTTCAGCAACAGGCTCACGGTTCGACATCTCATACTGATAGTCCCCATGTTGGAAAGCGAATACTAGAACTAACCTTCATACCACCAACCTTCCCCAACGCCAAGATCCTCACCCTCTTCGGTCTTCGGAGTCTGTGCACCTTTTTGCGACACTTGAGGTATTCTGTAGTCGGCCTGACGCGAGCAAGCCTCGAATAGCTTCTGTGTCAATCCATATGCGACATAGGTTTCTGCTGTGGTGCCAGGCCGCGGCAGTATGGCTTTCGCCAATCGAGAGGCTCGACGGCTTTGCAGCAAGGATCTGTGAGAGTGACACCACCGGTTTGCATTGTCTGAGGAGCGCTTCGAATGCGACATTAATGTGGTGTAGTTTCGGGAAGTAATCATATGCGTTGGCTGCACCCACTGTCAGTTTGAGAGATCAAGCCTGTTGGGTTATGTATCAGTTGCTTGGTGTACCTGAAGCCATGAAAATTGAGCTTTGCATAGACCTCGCACATAGGGCGAGCCTAATGACTTTGATGCCATTCTTTGAAATGTACAAATTTAGTATTGTGTCACAGATGTACTCCGTACCCTCCGATATGATTTCATTCTTTTCTTAACGCCGACCACCGCCTTGGTTTGCAGTGTTTGTCAACATCTCAAGAATGCACTCTCATTGGACCATTTCTTTTCACTCTAATTATGTACAAGTGCATACCCCGGTCGTACTGCTCGGAAAAGTAGTATTTACTTGTATAAACATGGTTATTGTATTTTACATATCATCTGCGTAACCAGGCTGGAACTGTGCCGCTCATGATATATGCTCTCAATTGTTCTCATGACACGACACAGCAAGTACTTCCTGTTGTTCATTAAGATGGTCATGTCAGCCTTGAATGTGTTGCCCGAATAGGCTTGATCATCTGATCCTTTATCCTTTTTGCATCTGAATTTGCCGTCAGGCTTCTAAAGACTCCACCAACAGCTACAATTGGGTCACCTTTTTGGGATTGGTGGGAGATTAAACAGCAGCTAGACATTACGCCATTACTCCCTTAATGACACTCGCTCTAAATGTCTTTCAACAAGAGGAAGTTTATCGGAAAGTTTGTTTGCATCTCTCAAAGCGGCCGGGACATCATCTCGTGTTGTTGCCAGGGTCTTCAGAGTGTCAGTGCATTTCATGTACTGTTTCATTTTCCCTATTCGAATATGCGTCTTACCTGTCTGACTTTCTCATATTCACATTCCTTGGATTGATATTCTCTAATCACTTCCATATTTCCGAAGTCGACGTATACCCTTGTATCACGGAGTCGGAATAGAACATTGTCAAGCCTCATGAAAAATCTCAGTAGTAGAAGAAGTCTGTCTGGCATAACACGGATCTTGCATGATAGCATGGTAATCCCGTTATCAGCCAGTTCATCCTCATACAGGATCACTTCATCAAAGAATAGTATTGGATCTGGGCGCTTCAATAAGTCGATCGGGATTTGCTTGTTTGTCTCTTCAAATTGTCGACTATTGGGACGGACAGTGCCCTTATAGTCTGTAGTGTACGACCAGTCAAATGGTTTGACAACTTCATTGATGCCTTCGTGTGTTATTTCTCTGGGATAGCCGTCAGTGTCGAGAAATTTTATGCGCGACAATCTGAATCCCACACCTGCTTTTCTGCCATTCTCTCGAATATGCTACCTTGAGCATCGATTCTCCAGTCTTGTCGACACGATCCAATGCATCAAATGCATTGAAGGTAATCTCCCAGCCCGTTTTTTCGTGCTCAATCTTGACAAAGTTATCCCCAAAAATCATTTCCGGTGGCGCAATACCGAGAGAATTTGACATCTCTTCGATAGGCTCGGCTTTCAGAATCGGCAATTTCTGCGTGCTTATTCTAAAGCCCTTGATCGAGGTCGAGTCTGGCTTCTGTGAACTAGGAGAAATCGCTGCCGGGCTGCGCACGGTGTGGGCAGAGCCCGTACGAATGTTGAAAGCCATGTCGCATCAACTGAATGGTGAGAAATAGCGCGGGGAAATATCAATCTGGTACTTTAATGATTGAGGGACTGGTAAATTGAATTGTCGATGCGCAGTGCATGTCATGAATGGCCGATTCTTATCAATATAGCATCTTCTCCGAACGATACCCCGCGGAGGTCGGAGAAAGAGGCGGCCCGTTCCGTTGCCTGGGTGATGTGCAAGGAGCTGCGCCGATAAACAGCCGCTGGAGCTGTTCTTTCTCGCAAGTCAACCTTCTTGACACAACCACACAAACTCGCCAAACCACCACTCCTCATCCCCCTTGTTTATCGACAATTACTAAAATCCTGGCATGAGCATTTAGTAAAGAAGGAAGCACTTGAGCATCGCAATCGCCTCTTTGCGACCTTAACGTCATTGACACTTCTCACCACAATCATGGCTACCAAGACGTTGGAAGCTCGTTTTGAGCATCTTTCTGTGAAAGATGAGAATGATTCTAGCGGAAATGGCAGCTATAGTTTAAAACAGAAGGTACTGATTGAGCGAATGTGATTAGACATGCAGGATCAACCAACTAATTTTATCTGTCCAGGGCTCCCATTCTACAGCCACGTCCCTATCAGGCCTTGGGTCCACTGCGCAGCTGAACAATAGCTCAAATAGGCCAAATCTACTGAAACTCGCATTGCAAAACACCAATGATAACAGGATCAATGCAACAAATTCGTCTCCTGTCAAGCGCAACGCCGATGAAAATGAAGAACAGTCTCACGAGCAGTCTTCGCCAAAGAAACTACACCTTGGAATGTTCGAGATTGGAAAGCCCTTGGGAAAGGGGAAATTTGGCCGAGTCTATCTTGCCAAGGAGCGATCTTCCGGGTTCGTTTGTGCACTCAAGGTCCTTCACAAATCCGAGTTGCAACAAGGAGGGGTGCAGAAACAAGTTAGGCGAGAGATCGAGATCCAGAGCAACCTTCGTCACCCGAACGTCCTGAGGCTCTATGGACATTTCCACGATAGCAAGCGAATTTTCCTGATACTGGAATTCGCAGGCCGAGGCGAATTGTACAAACACCTTCGAAAGGAACACCGTTTTCCTGAGTGGAAGGCTGCACATTACGTTGCCCAGATGGCCGCAGCGCTCAAATATCTTCACAAGAAGCATGTTATGCACCGTGATATCAAGCCAGAAAACATATTAGTTGGAATTCACGGTGAAATCAAGATCAGCGACTTCGGCTGGAGTGTCCACGCGCCGAACAACAGGCGGCAAACCATGTGTGGCACGTTGGATTATCTGCCTCCGGAAATGCTTAAGCCAGGCTCTCAAGACAACTACTACAACGAAAAGGTCGACCTATGGAGCTTGGGTGTGTTGACATATGAATTCCTTGTCGGAGAGGCACCGTTTGAGGACACCCCAGTCATGACACAAAGGCGGATTGCAAGAGCAGATATGAATGTTCCTTCCTTCGTGAGCCCTGAGGCGAGAGATTTGATCAAGCGAGTATGTACTCCCTCTATTAATCCATTTTCATAACACTTATCAGCTAACACATTCTAGCTTCTCGTGCTTGACCCTGAAAAGCGAATCACGCTTGATGAAATCCAACGACATCCCTGGATCGTCAAACACTGTATAAAGGACGATGGAGTTACGAAACGGAGTTCTGGTTCTTCGTCAAAGGATGGTAAAGCATGAAAGCATATTACTTGGTGTGAAACAGGTTTATGCATTGCCGGGGTTGTTGGCGTTTCTTTCTTCTCTTTCCTCCGGTCTAGCTTATACGGAGTTTGGTTGTTTGAGCATATTGGTGTTTCGATTAATATTTTATTGCCTCTATTTTCCCTCTTCTTTAGGAGTTTGGAAATCTCTAGGATATGGTGTCATGTTGATATTCGTTTTTCTTTCTCTTTTTCTTTCTCTTCTTCTTTTTCTTTTCAAACTTGTCATCATCAAATCTAATACATTCCAAAGGAAATATAATAAAACAATCGTAGAATGGAATGGCTAAAGAGAGGGGGGATCATATATTCACGTCACCGATAAATTTCATCAAAGGGTCGTGTATCTCTGAAGCAACTATCCCAAACTTCATTAACAACTTTTTGCGCATGGGCTTCGTCTTTGCAACCGGGCCTTGCCCTCACGGATAGAACAGCCCTTCTCCGAACGCATTCTTGATGCTGTTGTGTGAATTTCCACTGGCCTCGCCGGAAAAACTCCCGCGCCCATCTGCATTCGCCGCTAAGCGAACTGGCTCGAATCTACGGCAGAAGAAAACAGAGAATTAGCAAATCTCCAGCTTGCCACTAACTTCCCTCCTTGGTTATTTCCCCTTACCTCTGTGCAAGCTGCATGCCTCAGGTTGTTGGTCCATTCGACTTTGAATCTTAAGTGATCATAGGCATGCACCATTTCATGTGCCATTGTATCCTCCAGATGTCCTTGGTCCTTCATTTCATTTGCACATATCAGAATGCCGTATTCAGGATCGAAACCACCGGCCTTCCTGTTTGTGCATCGGCGACAATAGATGTTGTGATTGTGAAGGTCTCCTCCGAGCTGTCGAATATTGTCGCTCAAATAGCGAATAACGGGACCTTCAACCATACTCTTAGTTGCCGCTCAACTGAATTATTTTTGAGAGTGATATTATGACTCACTGTATTGTAGAAGGAAATTGCGCTGCTCCTCGCAGCGATTGCAATCAGCAGCTTCATTTCGGATATCTCGCGCAACACGGAATTGTTCCTTTCCTTCGTCCGTCATTTTGCCCGTTAAGACCGAAAAAATATTGCGCCATTGTGTCCAGGTATCATCTCCGGGAATATAGCCATTATCAGCATTGCGCTCCAGATGTGAAGCCAGCCCAGGCGACTGCGAAGGGTCTGTCATTTTGGCACTAGACTTGCAAGGGCTTGAATTAAGACTCCGATCCCCAAGATGTTCCGCCGAAACTCTCCGCATTGGCGGTAATTAGTGGCAGAAAGCAATCACTCCGATTTTCTGAAGAATGACCGAGTAGTTTGCGGAAGGTGAAGAAAGGAATATTGTCTTTTTATTATACAATAGCCGTTCTTTTATGGAATCCGATGTGTGTTGAGGGTCAGGTATCAAGCAAGGCTAGCATCATGAAGGCCTCTGAGCGTCTTACTGTCGTTATCAAACTAGGTGCGGGGACTCATTTTCGACGGGTTGTAGCGCATTGGCTTACTTCTGAACAGGCACAAGCTCTATTGTTGACGAAAAAACCCATGAGCCCATCCTCTCTATTCTCTCGTTAATTGTTGAAACGGCCGCCAAGCTTCATCGGGATGGTCACAATGTTGTCCTCGTTTCATCCGGCGCCGTGGGTGTAGGGTTGCAACGGATGGATATAGAAGAAAGACCAAAGAGTCTGCCTCGCGTCCAGGTATTTATGGCATATTTAGTGTCATAATTATAGATTTGCTGACTGAAGTTGTCAGGCACTTGCAGCTGTCGGTCAATGCAGGCTCATGAGTCTTTGGGACGCACTATTTTCGCATCTTCGTCTCCCTGTGGCCCAAATTCTGCTGACAAGGAACGATATCGCAGATGTAAAACACCAAAAGTCTTGGATGTTGCCTTCATTATGCTCTAACAAATGATACAGAGAACGCAATATGTCAATGCTCAAAATACCTTCTCGCAATTGTTCGACATGGGAGTAATTCCAATCGTCAACGAGAACGATACACTGGCCGTTTCTGTATGTGATCGGCGCCTATACTACCTCAGACTATTTTATTCTAATTCTCTGTAGGAAATCAAATTCGGTGATAACGACACATTGTCGGCCATCACAGCGGCCATGGTCAAGGCTGACTATCTATTCTTGATGACTGATGTGGATTGCCTTTATACCGCTAATCCACGCACTAATCCCAATGCAAGGCCAATAGAAGTGGTTACGGACATATCTTGTCTAGAAGCAGATGTTTCATCTGCAGGCTCTTCCCTGGGAACTGGTGGCATGAGCACAAAGATCATTGCTGCAAAACTGGGGACGAGTGCAGGTGTTACTACGATCATCACCAAAAGCTCGAAGCCCGGAAATGTTCATGAGATTGTAAAATATCTCCAAGGGATTCGACAGAAATCCTCTGAAGGAAGCGCTACGGCCGATAGCGATCTTCATATGACGAATCAAGAGCCTCCATCATCTCCTCCTCTTCACACCCGGTTCCTTCCCTCAGATAGTCCTATCCAGTCACGGTCATTTTGGCTACTCTACGGCTTAAAACCCCATGGGACTATCTATATCGACAATGGTGCATACCATGCACTCCAAAACAAAGCAGGTCTTCTCCCGGCTGGCGTATTGGGTGTGGAAGGTTATTTTGCACAACAGGAAGCAGTGCGATTGGTTGTGGTGGAGAAAATCTCTCCTGACGCTCTAAATGGCGAATTTCTTCATCACTGGCAAGAGCCGAAGGAAGTTGGCCGTGCTTTGGTCAATTACGGCAGCGTTGAGGTCGCTCGTATCAAGGGTCACAGAAGCACCCAGATTCAATCCCTCCTCGGTTACGCTGATAGCGAATACGTCGCCTTGCGCGAGAATATATCCTTCTTCAACCACGAAGATTTCTCTCAGCGGTAATGTTATACTTGTGAGGAGGACTGCTGACAGAAACGCCAAATACCTGGTGTCATTTTAGGAGACCACTTTTATTGGTGAATGTTTGATTAATGTTTGATTTGATCATGCCTTAACTTTCACGATGATATGCACATTTTTGTTTTTATTTACACCACTGTCACTTTCTCCAATTCCATCTTCTCGGTATTAACCTTTCCTTTGCACTAGAGAGCGACCAAAAAGGATAGATAGACTGCATTATGAACCTCAGACATAAAGAATTTACTATCAGATACAATCCGTTGGACTATACAATATAGGCAATCAGCCGGCTCCGAAATGAGATTAAACTAGTACCAACTATTGGTGATATCCATCCTCCTTGAACACCATATGCGAAACGGACATCATGGAGTAACAAGTCGCGTTGTAAGTAGACACCGAAGGAAAATTCTCCATGTGAGGTTCCCATGTACGTTCTAAGGTCAATCCTTCCATCTCTCCAACCATCTCTTCATGTTCATGTCTTCTGGTTGTGCCGCAGGAGTTGCCTAGGCGTAAGATTATAGGTCAGAACACAAACTACAAAATTATGCGGTAGAGTTAACATACTGTGTTCTCAATGTTTGTCACTTTGTACGTATCAGTAGCAGAAACCGTAGTCTCAACAGTAGGAGCACCAAGATAAGCGGTAGCAATGGAGTAGTGGCTGGTTGGATGCTGCGGAGTCGGCGTCCCAGGTGGAAGCGTACTACCAGGTCTTTTTGCCATGGGAGCATACCGCGTCGGGCCGGACTGTAGTTTATAGGGAATGGTGTGAGCTCCAAGACCTGTCGCTGCAGCAGCCGGTTCCCCAACGGCCTGCCTCTTCTGGAACCCTTCATGTTCCTGGTCCTCTCTAAGGGGAGCACCGCTGACATCTCGAATTGCGTGGATCCCGTCTGTAACTCGGGGGGAGAAAGAGCCAGTCATGTTGGTGAGGGAGAATCGACTCGAGTAATTGATCACGGAGGCATCAGGACCCGACGCGACCAATTTCAGGAAACTGGGACAAAGGAGAAGCAGAATGTCAGGTACAATCTGATGCGATCAAGAAGACGTGTGGTAATTCTTACTATGCGTTTGCTTCTTCACCCCCAGCATCTTGGTCAAGCCTGAACGAGACTGAATTTCCCCGGGCAAAAGGCGCATCTTTGATGAGAGTAGCTAGTTCTTCCTACAGGCCCAAGATGTAGGTCAGTATTGGACATTAGCACTACCATGACAGTCATATTCAGTACAAGCAGGGTTAGAGAAAATACTCACGTAGGAATCGGATGTATCTCCCCCTGCGCAAAGGTGGATATCATACTGCAACAGTTGTGAAATTTTGGGAAATCCACCAGACTCTTTCCAGTGAGCCGTTACAACATTACCACCCTTGAGAGTCGAGCCAAAAGCCGGAGCAGTGAATTCGACATCAGCAACCGCGATGGATACTAAAGGGAGTATGAAAGAGAGCGGACGAAGGAATCGCATCCTGAAAGAGATGGACAGACGATACCTTCGATGGTAGAAGAGGACAAAAAGCAGAAGGAAACGAGCGTGAAAGAAGGGAAATGCGTTAGTTTCAAGAAACAACGGATTGAGTCTTCTTTCTATCTTCACTGGGGGTTGTCATCCCTGCGGACCAGAGGTATGTAAATCATGCAGGGCAAAATAGCAACAATGACAACAACAATGATAATAACAGCCAAGTATCCCTGGTAGAATCCAATTCTTCCTCCAATTAAATATACAATCAATACAATACCAAAAAAAAAAAAAAATTGAACGACAAGATGATGGGGAAGAAAGATATTGAGATGATGTTGTTGATCTACAGCATATAATAGTCTTATCGACACGCTCCACTACGGAGTACTCAACCTTGGGTTGGTTCCGGCCGGAGCTCGGCCAGCCGTGACCTTACGACAGTAATAACCACATCATCCTCTTCTTCTGTTTTTCTTTTATCCCAATCAATTTCTCGTGTCCATCCAGTACTTGTGCAAGAGAATGAGGCATCACCAATCAGATTGGAGCTCCCTTGAGGGCGTTGTAACCAGCCTATTAGATGGCAACCCCATTGCCATTCTAATCACGGCCTTTATTGCCTTTGGTCTGCCCGTTCTTCTACATATTATTTTCTACCAGACGGTGGCATCTCCGCCTGTGAGCAATTTCTTGCTGCTTGGACCTAGTGGATCAGGGAAGACAGCTTTAGTGACATTGGTGAGTTTCTGGCTTCGTCTATAATAACGCACATGTTTGATTAAACATTAACATTGTCTTTATATTAGCTTGAAGCCAAATCATCTCTACTTGCCAAGAAATCTAAAGCTACACATACTTCCCAGGCGTCTACCGACACTACCGTTAGCCTTCCCGTTTCAGTTCCGACTGCCTCAAACCGCTTCCGATCGGTAAACGACCCGTCGCTGAAAGATGTCTCGAGAAATCCCATCAAGTACAATGTCAGAGATACCCCCGGTCATGGAAAACTGCGGGGCCCACAGGGCGTGACCCAGCTTCAGTCGATGTTGAGCGCGAAGGACCCAAGGATGAGAGCACGCGGAGTGATCTTCGTGGTCGATACCGCGGCTCTCACTCAGGATGAAACGTTACGGGACACCGCCAGCTATTTACACGACGCCCTTCTGTCTCTGCAGAGACGAGCTCTAAGCAAGGGAAAAGCTGCCTTGAGAGTCGCAGGAGAGGTTCCTATGCTCGTGGCCGCCAACAAGCAGGATCTTTTCACTGCCCTGCCTCCCGGTTCGGTACGCGAAAAGTTGGAGTCTGAAATTGACAGAATCCGGAAATCAAAGAGCAAAGGCCTCATGGATGCCAGCGTTGACCCTGGAACAGGGGAGGGCGAGGATGAAATCCTGGGCAATGACAATGTTCAGGATCCGTTCACCTTCAAGCTCCTGGAGGAGGAAGTTGGCATCAAGGTTGATGTTGTCGGTGGAGCGGTAAAGGGAGACAATGAAGAGAACATTGGATCTGGTGTGAGACGATGGGAAGAATGGATCGGCCAGCGTCTGTGACCGGTCTTCATTGATTTGAGTTCTGGATCCATAACGCAGTTTTCTGCAGAATACTTGCTACCGTACCCGAATTTGCAAGCCATATACCACCATAAAATACGAATAATATTGTCCCTTCGAGATATCTAATTCACTGGTGAAAAGTAACCCTTCGTTCTCACATACGGTATATGTGCTGATACTATCTAAAAAGCGGCGGATGTAAACACAACACCTGCCTTACTCTGACTATTTATTTTTGCTTAGTCTTCTTTATCAGGCTTCTTTCCAGGTTCATCTTGCCAATTTGATCCCAGTGTTTGAGTTATCTTGGCATCGGTCCAGTCCTAATGCGGATTAGAACCGGATTGTGTGAATAGGAAGTTCATCCACAGAAAGTAGAAATGACTTACCCAGAGATCCCTCGCCACTTTCTCATCACAGGCAATCTTGCTAGGCCAGTCAGCTGTCGCAACAGGAATAAAGTATTGACCACGTTGATTCTTCTCTCTCGGCAAATCACTGGAACTCAAATACAAAGCCGTTGCAGCACCATCTTCCAGACTCTGTCCCATGAATAAGGAAAAGAAAGTCCGCATAATTATCCCAATTGGTTTCCCAAAAAGCTCATTCCATCCAATCCATTGCTCCGTGACAATGTTACCCGGGAAAAAGCAATTGACATAGATATTCTTTCCCGCGGGGTCATTCCCTTCCTGAAGCCGTCGGCTAAGCTCCTTTATGAGAAGGATATTACCCAGTTTCGAACGGCTGTACCGCCATATAGCATCAACAATCCTAAACCTGGAGGTTGGATTAGGCGCCATAAGCAAGTCGAAATCCAAACGCCGGCAGAACATGTGCATAGATGATGTAGTCACGACAATGCGAGCATCGCTAATCGGCGAGTCAATAGTCACCCGTTTTAGGAGCGGAAGCAGGATGGTGACCAGGATCTGATGGCCTACGCAGTTAGCTGCGAAGACCGATTCGATGTTCTGCGGGGACCGATTGTACTGGGTGGACACTCCCAGCCCTAGAAACCAAAGAACAGAATTAGATAGTCAATACGCTGACACGAAGCAGGGAATCAATACCCGCATTGCATATCAAGATATGTATCCTGTCGGTCTTTCGTTTGATATGCTCAGCTGTTCCCTTTACTGACCGGATATCCGCGAGTTCGCATTGTGTGAATTCAAGCTTCTTGTCGATAACATCGAGAGAGAGGCCAGTTTTATGAGGCCATTGCTTCCGTGATTCCTCGAATTTGTTTTTGTTTCGTGCCAAAATGAAGACCCTCTCTACATTGTTTTGGAGAAGCTGTGTGGTGATTTCTGAATCCAAGTGGAATCAGTACATCATTGAATGAAAATGCGTACGACTTTTAGAGAAAATATCGCTTACCTCGTCCTATACTTCCTTGACCACCCTGTCAGGAATTACAATTAGGAATGTTTTGTCATTGTTACAGGATACTTACTGTTACCACCGCCACTTTCCCATCCAGCGGTGGTGTATCTTGGAGAGAAAAGTTTCGATAGGTGAAAACACCTGTCATGTTTCTGCTTACATATGTGTGTATATAGAAAAATGAAATTCGTGAAGGTGAAGGGCCTTACTGATGTATGTTTCGTGGCGTCCGAGATGGTTATCAGCATAACGTCATTATATTGGATCTAGTTCTATAGCGCCACAATGTACCCTGGTAATAACCCTTCTGTTTCCTGGGCGGAATATTTAGGAACCGTTCTCATTATTATGGAGCATCCAAGTAAGCAGGTCAACCTTGGTCGCAACCGCTACTGGCCTCATCGTTCCCTGTTTGTTTGTCTCGGTGACAATAGCTGCACTATTCCATTCCAAGAATCGATTGAGCACGCTGAGAGGAGTATCCGTCGTAATCTCAATGAACTTGCGTCCCTTCTTTTGAGCCTTCAAAGTCTCTGGACCGATGGGCTCGCCGCCTGCAGTCAGTCCCAGATCTCTAGGATCGGTCACGACTTCAGGGATCCTGCTAAAATCGAACATGACGTCGGAAACTGGGCTCTTCCCAGTAGCACGGCCGTGGGTGAGTCGACTGAGGATATTGCCCAGGGTAGCTAATCCAACCAATTTCTTTCCAGAGGGCGCAAGAACGGGGAGTTGATCGAATCCTCTATCTCGCATGATTTCAATCGCGCTCTCACATGGGAAATCCGACCGGATAGTTGTAATCGGCTTTAATCTCAGTGAGTTCACCTTCGCTCCAGAGAATGCATCCTTAGGGCCTTGAGTTTGCAGAGACGGGGACGTTGGCACGGCTTCAACAGGTGGTGATGACAGAAGACCATTGGCAGCAAGCCAGTCATCATCGGCGAACTAAGAGATCAAATAAGCATATAGAGCTATCGTATAAGAAGAGCGCGTGAAACTGACCTTGGTGAGATAGCTTCTGATGCTGTCAGGTAAAATCACCACAACAACATCGTCTTTCCCAAAGTTATAATCTTTGGCGGCTTGCTCAAGAGCTGCAATGGCACTCCCGCTGCTTCCGCCAACAAGGAGACCCTCTTCGGCTATCAAGCGACGAGAGTATTGGAATGATTCTTTATCGCCTGTCTTGTACCACCTGTCTACGGCCTTTTGATTGAGCACCTGCGGAATGAAGTCATACCCAATTCCCTCAACTTTGTAAGCCTCGTTCAAATGGGGTTCGTTTAATGACGCAGGAAGAGCCAGAATTGATCCATGGGGGTCGGCCGAGATAACCTGAACGTCTGGGTTATGCTTCTTAAGACCTCGGGATAGCCCGGTGATCGTTCCACCAGTACCTGCACCAGCAACAATCGCCCTAATCTGCCCGCGTGTCTGGGTCCAGATTTCCTCAGCCGTACCGAACTCGTGGGCCAACGGATTGTTTTCATTTCCGTACTGATCTAGAATATGAGCATTGGGAAGCTCCTTCTCCAAGCGTTTGGCAACACCAATATGCGATTCAGGCGAGTCGTAGGCGGCTTCGTTGGGAGTACGAATGATAGTTGCATTCAGTGCACGTAAGACAGCCACTTTCTCTGCAGACATCTTTTCCGGGAGTGTGATGATCGTCTTGTAGCCTAGAATACCCAGAAAATGTATAAAATTAACACCTCCGTATTCGAGAAATCGTAAACGGAGAATTTCAAACCTTTGACGGCAGCCACCAATGCCAGACCAATTCCACTAGAATCCAAGAGACATATTAGACCATGCCATCCAACCAGGCGTGACAAGAAGCAAGTATAGGATGACAAGAGTAACCAACGTGTTGCCGCTGGTAGGCTCGATCAAAGTATCGCCAGGCTTGATACGGCCGGACTGTTCTGCCGCCTCGATCATGCGCAAGGCGATACGATCCTTGACACTCCCACCAGCGTTGAAATATTCCAGCTTTGCATAGACAGTGGCCTGAATCCCGAGACTCTGGGGAAGCCGGTTCAACCGCACCAAAGGCGTATTGCCAATGTGCTGGGTGATGGCATCTAGAGCCACCGGAGGGATGGCGGGGTTGGTTATCGTGGACATTTGATGCGCGAGATTGTCGGGAATAGTGAAAGCAACAAGGATGATGGATGGCCGTTGGTTTTGCTAGGGATTCCAGAGAAGAGAAAAATCTTGACTTGGATCAGATGTTGAGAAGATGCAAACGGAGTACTGTCGGAGTACAGACATTCCGATGATAACCGTTTCCGTCAAACATCGCAAACGAATGGAGATCTTGCGACATTGGATAAGGACTCCCTATTGTGTACGACTACTTTGTACGGACCACGAATAAAGTAGAACGTGATCATTATATATATAGGGAGAGCTCTTCCGCATCGGTTCACTGCTTTTCCTACAATAATAAACCGTCCATTGACTCTGTCTAAGCTTATCATGTTTATCTTAACGTGCCGTTCCACACAAGCTTATCGATAGCCAAAAATCACAGTGGCTGGCATACGGAGTAAACACATTCCGTAGGTCGTTCTCCATACTCCGTACTCCGGTACGAAGCATTACTCCGTGCTTCACACTCCGACATTGAGTTCTCTCTCCCTCTACTACATTATATAGGAGCCAATCCCCAACAGGAGATGCCAGTCAGGATGAAACATAATACACCAGTGACCAAAATTGACCAATCTGGAGTGTTCCTTCCATTTTAATAATCACTTGCCAGCATAGCGCGCAGACCGCGAAATTGCAAAGGGAAAAAGGAGACATTGGTTGCGCAGGCCGTGGCTGTGCACAGCAGGGACTGGACGGTGATCCACTGCCAACAGAGAAACAGCAAAACCACACTATTCCGTACAGAGTACTAGTCTGTGCTTGGGGCCGGTGTGTTGGCGATGTGAGCGAAGTGGCTGGCAGTCCCGCCCAAACAAAAAGAAAAATATAATAACGAAAATGAGAGCTGACAGTCAAAGTGATGCGTATTCTTGCAGCATAATGGAATTGTCTAGAGCCTCCGTGAAGTCCAGGTATGTGCAATTTGGCATCCTGCACTAGGGGAGTTTCATCGGCGCATCGCAGCGGAGGTTGATTTCGCTACGGTGGTTTGGCCAGCAGGTAGACAATGTGAAAAGAGCCACACGATGCAATTAAATGGGAGCTACAATATGTGCCCAATCATTCCTATCAAATAAGCAGCATCCACACGGAATTTCTCTGCTGGCTGTCACGAAGCTCAACGGATTCTGTACTTTGCATTCTGTCATTGAGGCCATAGCACTCTGTATATGTATCACAGTATCACCAGGACTGTTTGACCTTAACTTCTAGCTTTATTACTGCTTTTTTTTTTTTTTTTCTCTTCCCCGCTGATCATCTGCTGTGACTGAAGTCTATAAGAGCAAAGACGATCCAAAAGAATCACCAGTTCATCTCCTATTCTTTGATTCCCCCCCCCCCCCCCCCCC